ATCAGGATGATTGAGAACATACCTGTAAATGCTGCACTTACCCTTTCCTGACAAACCAGATGTAACAAATCAACATACAAATTACCATCACCAATAATACAGCAATAATTATCAGAGCAATCATCCAACCAACCAGTCCATCACAGTCAGGTTCATCTTGAGAACAGGCACATTCATAGCGATTCTCATAGTTATAACAAACATACGGCCAGCTACATGGAGAACTTGTACATTCATCATAGTCGTCCTGACATCTTGAACCAACCCAACCATCTGTACATTTACACGAATAATAATCATCAAAACTTTCAGCTCGACGATAATTCTCACAAGTATATGCGGCATCAGAGGCTAGAAATACAAAATCGTTCGTAACAAATATAAATTGTTAAAAAAGTGGTTGAACCAATAGAACTGTAGATTTGGGCAAAAATTTCTGATATCTTAATATAAAAAATACTTCCTTACTGAATGATAAAATGTTCTTAGAATATAGCTTTCTATGGAGAAACGAGCAGCCCAAGTTTTAAGACAGCTAATTCCCGCGCCGAAGATTGAATATTTGCCTTTTAGAGTTTAGACGAGCTAAAAATTGAACACGTTTTCAAGAACAAGGGCAATAACTCATACTCAATATTATTCAGTCTTGCGCTAAAGAGTTCAAAAGAAGTGTATTACTGAAAGTTGAATATTTCATACTGGTGATTGTTACTGTACTGCTAAATATTTCTATTCAAAATCAAGCTGCCAGTGGGCGTATATTACCTTGCCTGGCAAGCTATCTTTACTTTAACGAGCAACCTGTGGTCAAAGATGGATAATTTCCATATCAGTTGGTCTGTATTCCCAAAACAAGCTGTCGTGATGCAGTGAGACAGCTTGCGATGCCTTGCGATCCTCGCAGAAGCACGGCGAACATTCTGCATATACCACTGCGAGGCATTGAGATTGTCAACGTTTTATCTTCGCCATCGGTTTGCAAGCCATCGCAAAGCCCAGCGGAACTGAGGTTTTTATACTCCCACATGTCGTCAACATGTCTGGGAATATTCGGCTAAGTTAGGCGATATCTTTGCAATGGTTAGCGGATAATCGCCAAAGAGTTCAGAGAATTCTCAAACAACGCTGAATATTTTCAGATATATCGGCAACAGTCGCCATCAATCGTCGACAATCGACGATTAATCTCGGTCATGGTCAGACGACCGATCGCAGATTATCGGCGAGCATCGCATAACTGTCGCATAATATTGTAGATTCATCTCCGTTCCACTACTTCTACAATTTTGTCGCTGTCCATCGCAATCCATTGCAAAACGATTCCACGTTTCCCCATCGCACCATCGCAGATTTCTAAATTCTTAAGTGGAATTGGGGCTTAACAGGCCGCCAAAACAGAGCGATCTCTTCATAACTTTACAAAACTCATTAATTTGATTTAGTTTCGCGGTTTTTTGGACAAAATTATAACAGTTTATATTATGTGATATGTTTAGTTCTGAATGGGCGCTCGTGAGGAATTGGAAAAAATTATATATACATTATATATTATATTACATTATATATAATTGTACGCCAAGTAATGCGTTGCACCTTGTGAATTTTTCATTATGCAAACACATCGTTCGACCATTGTTTATTCACAGTATTTCCGATCATAATATTATACTGTCCTGTTTATAATTGAAACAGCTTGCAATGAATGAAAATATATTTATCTGAATTTGTCATTGGAATGTATTAGATTATTATTTAGATTTCTTACCAGATTGTTGTTGTTATGTAAACAATGGAGAATCCTTTCCTCGAATCATTGTGAATATGAAGCTCGCGCAAATAGTCCTAATCAGTCGAGTCGACTAAAATAAAAGGGGTGATGGCTCTAACAAAAATGTTGTGATATGTTAACGACCGAAACATCTGACTCTCTTCCAGCCTCTGACAATTATCGGCTGGTGAAGAGACTCATATATTGTTCAGCTTTGATACCTTAAGTGGATTGGAGCCAACTCTCATGTAACTCCAATAAAATGTGACCTTTTGAGCCTGAACCGCGACAATATCTGTATATCGCGTCCCATGTACGGGAAAAACCAAATATGTCGGGCTAAAATTCAATATGTTCAATTTCAACAATGTTTTCAGATATTGAGCGGGCCTAATAGGAAGCACCCTTTTGTACCGTGTTGTTAGACCGAAACATCCTGTCTCTCAATGCCGCCGTTAGAGAGTCAGAAGATCAACTATGAATATATCTTGAAATAGCGCAACCAATATGGTTGCGTTGAAATATTCTTCTTCAATGAGTTTTTTTTTTCAAAAAAACTGACAATTTTCTTGTCTGTTATGAGGTCAACTCCATACCATCCTTTTTTTCATGTTCAGCCAATATATCAATAAGCTTACATGAAAAGTTTCACACAATTTTTATTGGTTTCTACGTGGAATGTGGACGGGTTGTAACTATTATGTCCATTGGAGTCTGACCAAAAAATGATCAGAAATATTGAAATATTGCTGAAAAATATTACAGGTAGTGGAAATACCACTTCATGAAAACACTGAAGTTTCTACTTGTAAGCTTTTATTTGAAAAAGAATAGAATATAAAAAGTTCATGAGTTTACAAAAGGGATAAATAGAATTCAACAGTGTTGTAAAATTTAACAACGAAATGATAGAATTATAGTGTTTAGATATCGTGTAAAAAAGTGAAAATATTCGAAACACAAGGAAAAGTTTTTTCATATATAATTCCAGTTTAGGCGATTTTTAGGTAATGTGTATTACTTGCAATCCAATGATGATAATCTTAGACATAAAAATCTATTAAAAAATTTAAAACTGAGCTAAAAGAGAAAATTTTGTAATGTTTCAAATAGTATTATGGTTGTTAATTTTTCAAATGTTGAAGTTTTGATGGAGTACAGTGTTATTATATATGTAGCTATTACAAAACATAAAAGAAAAACACAGATCCATGAAGATAAGAGAAAAACAGTGGTTAAATTGGGGAATGGAAGCGATTAGTAAACTACATTGCAAAGTAAGATAAAACAGCAACTATAAAAAATATTTAAAATTTTCAAATTTAATGGATGTAATCTGGGTATGGTTCAAACGGTGATCTCTGAGAAGGTTGTGGTTCATCCAGTGGTAAAGCATTACGTCTAGCTTCTAACTGTGATGTAGGTTTAGATGCCCTTCTTACCATCTCAAATGTACTCGGACCAAACTTAACACCACTCGGTTGGAACATGCCACCACTTGGTGTAGACCAAACATCACTCGATCCAGCTGAGCTTTCGGTTGAATTATCAAATGGGTTCAAAGGAGAAATGTTCTATAAGGAGAAAACAACTCGATAAAAGTTCACAAACTTCTCAAAATAACTTGACCCTCTCAAGTTAAAAGATCATAATCTGGCATCATTTGGTTAATGATATCGAAATTCCACTATTTATGCATACAATATCATGAATATGGATCTTTTCAGCATTTAAAGTATGTTGCCGAGCAGCAACGAATGGTGTTGTGAATGAATAGACATCAACATGTATATGACTGCGATAGAAGTTCACTATCATAAAAATGTCCAATAAAATGAAACATTTTACTCACATGTAGTAATGGAACAGGAAGAAACTCGTTCTCTTTCATTGGTCCCATCATACCATCATACTGATTTCTTTTACTAAGAAACACCAATTCCTTGTGTACAATATCGGAGCTAGTCTAATCAGAAAGAAATATTTGTGTATGATATACTTCAACTACTAATTTAAGTGGGAAACTTTTTAAATATTTTAAATATTGCGAACTGAATCCCTTTACATCAATGTTTGAACTATGGGTAATGACTAGCATGAATTATTCTTAAATATTCATAATTATATCCTTAAATCAAAACAAAAATATTGAGGCAAACATGTTCACTTACCGTGTTCGAAACTTCGTCATTCTGAGAAAGATAAATATAAATCATTATATTTCTGGGAGAAAATTCATTGGCAAGTACAAATATTAAGTGTATTTCAGGAAAGATGAACAGCAAGAAATCAGTTTCATTACAGTAAAATAAAATTAATTTATTAGCTTTTATATTTAATATAACAACTTCTGTCAGGAATTTTAACAAACTGGTTTCATTTGAGAAACGAATTCATTCATAAAGGTTTTGACATGTTTTTTAGGGGATATTTCAATAAAAATTGAGAGTCAAAATGTACTTACATCTAAAGTATAAGCCTTATTATCAAACACCATAAGTCTCTTATCACTTTTCTTATTTTCTTTAAAACGATTTGAGGCCTTTGACCAATTTCCACGCCTGTAATTAAAATGTCAAAATCACGTAACATAAGCTTTGAGAAGCGGGACAAACAATCTCAAAACCAGGGCATATCTAAAAGGTTAGCAATGTCCTTTCTTGTCATAATTATTGAATAACTGGTGAATTTAAAAGTTCATAGTTCACCATTTTCGGGTGTTGATTTGGGACTTGAATATGTGTAAATAGTCTAGTTTATCAACTGTCTGAAAACTAGGGTACCCGAAAATACGTCTTGGTAATAAAGTCTATAATCGAAAAAACGGTGTATGAATGATCTCGATTATCCAGCCCTTAACCGCTCTACAACATGCAACTCGTCAATGTAATAACAAACACGGGTAATCAAGGATGATTGAGAACATACCTGTAAATGCTGCACTTACCCTTTCCTGACAAACCAGATGTAACAAATCAACATACAAATTACCATCACCAATAATACAGCAATAATTATCAGAGCAATCATCCAACCAACCAGTCCATCACAGTCAGGTTCATCTTGAGAACAGGCACATTCATAGCGATTCTCATAGTTATAACAAACATACGGCCAGCTACATGGAGAACTTGTACATTCATCATAGTCGTCCTGACATCTTGAACCAACCCAACCATCTGTACATTTACACGAATAATAATCATCAAAACTTTCAGCTCGACGATAATTCTCACAAGTATATGCGGCATCAGAGGCTAGAAATACAAAATCGTTCGTAACAAATATAAATTGTTAAAAAAGTGGTTGAACCAATAGAACTGTAGATTTGGGCAAAAATTTCTGATATCTTAATATAAAAAATACTTCCTTACTGAATGATAAAATGTTCTTAGAATATAGCTTTCTATGGAGAAACGAGCAGCCCAAGTTTTAAGACAGCTAATTGGTTAGTTTGAAAGAGTCAGAAACTTGTTATATTTATTACACGGACATCCTAATTGCAAACTTACATTTTGGTTGACAACTTCCTCCATTTAGACAAGGCATCATCATCATGGCCATTCTAATACTGACAACATCAGAACTGGTTCCGGTATCATCAGTTATAAACATCCTTATGTCGTCATAACCAGATACTCCTTCTTCAGGTTCATACGTCATGGTGTGATATAACCATTTCATTTGGTTGACAGGGTGGGGTAGAGACATTCTGTTACATGGTAGACTTGATTCCTGAAATTTGTTTTCATATTTGATTACAGCAGTTATACAGTGCCATAAGATCTTGAGCAACATGATTACGGACACTTCTTCCATTAAGACATACACGTGTCTTTGTTTAAAAAAAAACATTTGTAGGCCTACTGGAAACCTACCGTTGTTTGATCAACACAATCAGGACTCTCTTCATGAGGTGGTCCTACTGTTAATGATCCGTTCTTAGGTTTATCTATAAATAGTCTAAGTTGATCGCTCTGATCTACATCATACACACCAAATGTCCAAATAAATCTGTTGGTATCATTCCATCCTAATCTATTTTGTTCCATTAAAATCTTAAATAAAGAAAATGCAATGTGTTGATTCCTCAATATATCATTTATTAAGATAAACACCCTCCTTTTGTCTAGTGATGGTGGAAACCAATTTTTCTCTGAAAAAGGTCTGATTTTCAGATTTCTTCACCATTACGTTTTAACTCTGTCTTAAGATCATATATACATTTCATTGGCCCAGACTGTCATTTTAAACAGACATACCATTACAGGTTCTGTAGGGTCTGAGATTAACATATTTTCTTTTTCATGGATACAAAATACACCCGGCGCATCATTTTGTGGTGTGACAGTAATCTTCAGTGCTTCCTCTGTAACCAAAGGTTCAATTTCTTCGGAAGTCACTTCCGTCATTTTCAGATTAAACCCAAGTTCACCAGAACATGTTGTTTGGATTTAGGGTTTCGTTTTGCGGTTCGGATTGTTAGTACTTGTTTTATTTATTAATTGTGGTAGTGGACAATGAAAATCATGAACATTGGTGACTGAAAAGTTCACACCTTTGATCGAAACGTTTAGGATATGATATTGAACATCATTGTAAAAGGCAGGCATTCTGGTGAGAACTACTATTACATTGTTACTACAAAGAATAATAAACTTACAGTCCTTGTTTGGTGACGTTGAGACTTCCCAGTGATTGAGATGATGTGGTAGTGATAGAAAACTCTACTTGATCATATTCTTCATCATAATATTTCAAATTATATACGATCGTACCTATAATAGCATGCAATGCAATTAACCCTTTGTCCTCCAACTTGTTTTACGCTATCTACGGGGACACGTTCTCCCCGAATTGCAGATTTGGGAGCCAGACAGTCCAATAAATATAACAGTCCACAGGGTAAAATCCACCACGAAAACAAATGAAAGTTGAAAAAGACGTCTTTATCGTTGATAAACTTGCAGACATTTCTAAGTCTATATTGACTTTTCCATCAGATTTTGCATTTTGTAAGTTTATAATAACTTTCCCAACAGAATTTGGATAATTTAAGTTTTTTAAAATGACATCATAGTATGTGATTTAAATCGATTTTCCATCACAATTGCCGGATGCTTGTTATTCGAACGTACCTGCATCTTCTGCCATGATGAATGTTTTTGGTACATCAGGATCTAATTGTGGTGGAGTGTTTGGTATTGTTCGTAAAACATCAGTTACCATAAACTGTGTATCTCTCTTGAAATATTCTATCTCTGCAGTAGGTTGACTGTCATCATTCGACCAGGTATTGCAAACCTACATAAAGTTCAAAATATTCTTCTCATAGAAAATAGTTTTTAAAGCCTTGGATATATGTGGAGGATTCTCACAGGTAATGAATGTCACGTGATTTTTGAATTTCATAAGAGCTATCGATGTCAAAATTAAGTTTTAATGGTTTTAAAATAACAGCATATTTTTGACGAGAAATAAGAAGGGTGCAAAAGGAAGCTATGTTTGTCCCCAAATGACAAATGACAAGGTTCTTTTACAGTTCGGCAATTGTCACAACAGAAGAGATTTATAGAATTTTACATTGCTTGGAGAAAATAGGAAAAAAAACGTGGTATCCTTAGTAACATTAATTTTATTTAATTATACAGATGTAACATTGTAACTTTTTGACATATTTATCAGTAACGCAGCTCAGAAGTTTGTCTCCACATTAACAGCTTACCTTGATCTTGATTTCTCCAGCAGTTTCATCAACTATATTAGTGTCTGGTCCATGTTTAGATCCACACGTCAATCTACTAGGCTCCCATCTTTTATTTACTGGAAATACATTTTTTTTTATACTTAATAGCTATGGTCTTGAAGTCTTGAATGAATGATGTATTAATGTGTCAATGAAATCATCGTCCACCACAACAAGCTTCTATTGACACTTCAGGAGAAGCAATGATCATAATCCAAGAATGACTATATGATGCAATTAATGCTACGATATATAGAAGCCTATATAGAAGATACTGTTTACCTGGATTCCAGTGTATCAACATGGGAATAGTAGCAGGATCTGATGAAGCTGGGTTGTATTTAATAGTAACTACCAATGGACCAGGCTGTGGGAGGTTTCCTATTGATGTTATGCTGTAGGACTGGTAGGATGGTTTGGGCGACATTCTGAAAAAAACAAATCATACAACCTGATGATATAAGTTCAACTTAATCTGTAGTTAAGATGTTGGTTCAGCTTTTACAATGATTGGAATATCTGTTATGCTGCATTCATATTAGTTTATAGGCCATAGGACATAATATAACTGATTCGCAGGTTCCAATTTCAACGTGAGTTGTGAACAATATTACTGATTAGCTTAGCTACACATTATCAATTCTTGGCTCGACAGTATACATAAAAATATCATACCTTTTACGAAGCAATCTGTGTAAATTATCATCATTATTAAGAGTTAATTGTGGATTTGAAATGTAAGGTATAAATTCTGTACTAGCATCTGATCTGTAATCACCTTCTAAATTATCTTGAGTAAGTGTGGTTACGAGTATACTCTGTCCCGGCTTCAATCCTGTAACCAAAACAGATAATTTTATTTCATTTTTTTTTTCGATTTGAATCCTTGGAAAACAGATTCCAATGATTCTACAATTTTATTTCATACAAAAGTAAACAATAGCAAACCTGAAGGCGTTTCTATGGAAACATCACTGATAGAACGTTTCTTTCTGCTGGACGATTCTGGACTAACTTTTACACTTTCACCATTAGTAGAAGTAGCCATCTTGGAATTTTCATCCACAATAACAGAAGTACCGACATTTCTAACAGTACAACGTCTGGCTTCATTACACATTCTCATACACAGGAACAGAGTTCGTCCAGGTTCCATCTTGTATTCAGAAGGTGCAGAAAAGTTATCAGTCTGATTATAATTGTTTGTATTGAAGGCACCAATAGCACTAACTGGTTGACCATCTATTTCAAGCCAGCCATTTCTAATGGCGACCTCACCAGATCTATTGTAACCAACCCAGGTGAAAGGAAAAACATCATCACATGGATCTGCTGAAGTTCCAATTCCAAAATCTAAAAAAGAAGAATTAGAGAGCCATTTGGTAAGGTCGATTTCTGAGTATAATTGTACAACAATAATTCAATCGAATTGTTTTGTATGACATCTGCAAGAACTCAAATCATGTTGCCGATATGTAGGTAAATCACTTACATCAACTTGAGTAATAGATACAAAGATATAAATATACATCAGATGTTTTACCGTATTCTCTTATAGAAGGATCCACACTAACAGTCCAGGAACATCCTATTGTACTTGGATCTGTTGATTTCATAGCAGTAGGTGGTACCACATCCTCAGTAAACTCCTCAGCTCCAGTGATATTGGTACCTACATCTGTGATATCTGGTGCGTACATTAACACAGTCACGCCTAGAATATTCAATTAGAATTAAATAAGATTATAATTTTATTCATTAGAGATATTTCTGACGAAATGTTTAGCTTTCGGGTAATGTTATTGAGGATCAATTAAACATAATATTGCATAAAGCTCCGATTAAGAATCCAGCAAGATATAGAAGACTGTTACCTCTCTGATCTTGATAAACAGTTTCCAGTCCTGCACCATTCTTACACTTTATAGAGGCATAGTAGGTAGAATTATTTTCAAGTACACCTTCTAATGATCGGTTAGTTCCTGATGAAGTTACACCGGTTGATATGTAGTCTTGTATATCCAGCGCACCAGGTGCTGTGCCAATACCCCATTCATATTCCTGAAATCATCATAAGACGTTTCAGGGACGGTACATTTCAATTAGTTTTATTTTAACTCAGAGAGGAAATTTTTGAGAGCGCACCAAGGAATCTGTTCCATACTGAAATGGCAGAATAAAAAAATGTCACGTGGTATTACAGTCTATTTTCAGTACATTATTGCATGCCTTTATTCAAATAGAAGCATTTTAGTACGATCTGAAAAGCTATATTTCATGTAAAATACTTTTGTATGATAAATCAAATGTTTAAATATTAGTAGAATTAATTTCATTGGTAAGATTCTCATGCATGATAAATTGAAATCATATGTTTATATATATAACTAGAACTAATCATGATAATTTCATTGGTAAGATAATCATGCATGATAAATTCAAATCAAATGTTTAAAAATAAGTAGTAGTAATCATAATAATGTAACTGGTAACGTACTACAATTGAGCTCTCGTCGTCCTGACAGAGGTAGATTGTCCTGATGGTGTCATTAGAACCTTGGTATTCTACAGGTGTAAAATTACCCTGAGATACATCAATATATAACATAACTTCTTCATCAAATACTGGTGGAGTAGTGTCAATATAAAACCCATTTGAGGATGATATCACTTCTTTACCAGATCCAAGTACACCTTTCACTAAACATAGAAATAATAAAGGAATGCTACCTTCTACTAAAGAATAGAATCTCTATAATGAACAATATATCAATTAAACTAAGCAATTATCCAAAACTTATTTCGGTTTAAAAATATGCATCATTACATTGGTTAAATATGTCATGGGTCAATATTCGGGAAGCGCACAAATTCAAATTCCACATAGTATGGGTGCCGACAATTTAAGTCCACATTGAGGGATGTAGGCATATAAAAATTAAGAACCATAAATTACCTGTTAGATAATATACAATTGGTTTGTCAGTGCCGTTTATATTTTCTGTTGGTTGTAAATCCAGATTGTCTAACTTGATGTTATGTTGACTGATTTTATCATTATTACAAAATATCAGGCAATCAAACCGGTCACAAGGTGTTTGACATGGAATACATGGTGAAACAATCTACAGAAAATATGAGAACATTGATGAATAACATTAATATCAGTTCACTTTGGTTAAACTTCGAGTAAAAACGAACCAGCAAAAGTAAAAAAACGAGTGCCCATAGTTGAAAAGTGATATTTGTCTGATAATGCAATCTAGTGTCAAATATTTAACAACAAAAAACTATCAAGATATGTAAAATATCCTAATACAGATATAACATATCTTAATACAGACATAACATATCCTAATATAGATATAACATATCCTAATACAGATGTAACATATACTAATACAGATATAACATATCCTAATATAGATATAACATATCCTTATACAGATATAACATATCCTAATACAGACATAACATAACCTAATATAGATATAACATATCTTTATACAGATATAACATTTCCTTATACAGATATAACATATCCTAATATAGATATAACATATCCTAATACAGATATAACATATACTAATACAGATATAACATATCTTAATACAGACATAACATATCCTAATATAGATATAACATATCCTAATACAAATATAAACATATCCTAATACAGATATAACATATCCCAATAAGATGTAAGATATCCAAAGATAGATAAAACATATCCTTATACAGATATAATATATCCTTTTATGGATATAACAGGTCCTAATACAGATATCATTTTTTTTTTTTTCGAACAGTTTATTTAATAAGAAAGGTACATAATATATATATATATATATATATATATATATAGTTTGTATAATATTTTAGTTACAATTGCATTACATTTTATTTCATCCACGAGGCTTTATGAAAATTTCATTATTTTTGTATCGTTTTCCAGACATTTATAAATTCTAATTGATTTTTAGTTTTGTATCTTATATTTTTCAAAATTGATGCATATTTTGTAATTTCATTTAGCATTAATTCAAAGTGAGGCGGGTTTTCAAGACATTTTGCACATTTATAGATATAGTATTTACATATCAAATGATATTCACATCATTGAGTTCTATAAATATATCAGCATTAAACATTAGGGTTTCAAGGTCAATCCATAGGGGGTTCACAAATGGACAGGAGCTGAATAGATGGACATAACTTTCTACATTATTTTTACAAAAAGTACAAAGGTCACAGTCACTAACACATATTAATTCTAGATACGACTTTAAAGGTAATATTCTGTGGATCATATCTTAATACAGATATAACATATCCTAATATAGATATACCATATCTTAATAAAGATCTAACATATCCTAATAAAGATATAACATATCCTAATAAAGATCTAACATATCCTAATAAAGATCTAACATATCCTAATAAAGATCTAACATATCCTAATATAGATATAACATATCCTAATAAAGATCTAACATATCCTAATAAAGATCTAACATATCCTAATAAAGATCTAACATATCCTAATAAAGATATACCATATCCTAATAAAGATATACCATATCCTAATAAAGATCTAACATATCCTAATAAAGATCTAACATATCCTAATAAAGATCTAACATATCCTAATAAAGATATAACATATCCTAATAAAGATATAACATATCTTAATACAGATATAACATATCCTAATAAAGATCTAACATATTCTAATATAGATATAACATATCCTAATAAAGATCTAACATATCTTAATACAGATATAACATATCCTAATAAAGATCTAACATATCCTAATAAAGATCTAACATATCCTAATATAGATATAACATATCCTAATAAAGATCTAACATATCCTAATAAAGATCTAACATATCCTAATAAAGATCTAACATATCCTAATAAAGATCTAACATATCCTAATAAAGATATACCATATCCTAATAAAGATCTAACATATCTTAATACAGATATAACATATCCTAATAAAGATCTAACATATCTTCATAAAGATATAACATATCCTAATAAAGATATAACATATCTTAATAAAGATATACCATATCCTAATAAAGATCTAACATATCCTAATATAGATATAACATATCCTAATATAGATATAACATATCCTAATAAAGATCTAACATATCCTAATAAAGATATACCATATCCTAATAAAGATCTAACATATCCTAATAAAGATCTAACATATCCTAATAAAGATCTAACATATCCTAATAAAGATATACCATATCCTAATAAAGATCTAACATATCCTAATAAAGATCTAACATATCCTAATAAAGATCTAACATATCCTAATAAAGATCTAACATATCTTAATACAGATATAACATATCCTAATAAAGATATAACATATCCTAATAAAGATATAACATATCCTAATAAAGATATAACATATATCAAATGACATTTCTTTCTACAGCCTAGTCATGAACTTCGTATATGAAACTGAAACCATGACAAAGATCCTCACCTCTTTAAATGAATAGACATCATCCGATTTTTCTTTTCTTCCAATGCCTGCTTCAAATTCTACAATTGCGTTTGCGCCACCACGGAATGGGTTTCCATAACGACAAATGGCATTACTATCAGGGGGCATAATCAGATCTTTAAATAAAGCCTTGGTCGACCAGACATTGAACATATCATGTAATTTACTAGATAATGGTTGTAGAAAGTTTTTCCAGTTCCATACGTTAAGGTAGAATTGTGTCTCAGATGAAAATCGAGGTATGCCACACATTTCAGAAATAGCGTCGTCATTGACAAACACATTTAAACACCATGTTCCCTGAAAGACAAATTAATCGCAGCATGGGTCGAGATACACATTTTTGTACCGGTTTCTAGTGATGCAGGTTACAGGAGCTGACATAGAAAAATCTTCTTGTCGTTCGGATGGGACATAAACCGAAGCCTCGTGTGCTTCAGGCTGTCATCGACAGCTGGAAATTGAAAATGCCTAATGCCGCTGTTCTAGCAAAATGTCCTTCATTGTATATGCCAATTGCCACTCCGCCGAAGTTAGAAGTTAAAATTCTATTTTATGTCATTTCCTTTTAAACAATAATATTTTTTAAATGACATCAAAAATACAGATTGGAACCATATAAAATTAGTCTTTATATTCAATTCCGGGACACAATATTTAATTGTAATAATTAACAATCTATCAAACAGGATTAGTTTATACCTCAGTTGCTTCTTCATTCACAACAAAAAATTCCAACCGATAATTATTGATGGATTTTGATGGGTCAAAGTCTAATTTTCTTTCTGCTTTCATTGGTTGATTTAATTTGTTTTCAAATCGGCACCAAGTGATCAATTTCTGTACTTCACCTGTAGTGATATACATTAAACACATAAATCGGGCTTGATTGGATTTAACAAAATCAATTCGATGTGAAATGTACTTTATGGTATATATTTTATCCAAGAGAGGCTATAACAATGCACCTGTGTTCGAGTCTGTTCAGAAAATGACCTGACGACCTCATCTGTGGTCATAATTTACTAAAGACGATCAAGGTTTTGTATAGATGATCCACAGGAACATTAGCATCCAAAGATTGAAACTTTTATCCCTGCACAAAAGGAATAGTTCTGATCTGATAGTTATATTACAAATATAAAAACCGCCCCGCCTACAAACCTGCTATAATTTGGATACCACAAGCTCTATGTCTATGAGGAGGTTTGTTCCTCGATGGTTTATCAGCCTTGTTTTCTGATGTACCATTGAACAACTCCGATCTCTCTTCCTCTGTAAGGTCATACACATAATCTGCTTGACCTGGGCTGTCAGTGACAGATTCTGTAGTTCCTTGAGTCTTTTCCCTGTCTTCTGTAACTGTTGAGTCACAATTACATTCACTAAGACAGTCCTGTTGAAAAACATAATAAGTTTTGATGAATACTGGGAATGTCTTTCTTAGAACTCTTATAATGTTTGATATCAACGCTGATTTGCTAGAATCCCAATTAACAAAGGGTGTTCTATAGGTGCTGGCACTGGCAACCAGGAATCATTAACAAATAACAAAGATATTTATAACATGGAACTTGGGATTCGCATCAAATAACTTCATGTTAACAGTTCCTCGATGTGTCTTTGTCCATTAAAAATTCGATTTCCTATAAAAAATCATAATTCTTACAGTATCGTTGGGATTATTACGACAACAGGAACAAAGAGTCCAGTCAACTTCTTTAACATAGTCATATTGTACAATATCTGATACTGGTCCATCCCATAATACTATAGAGGTCACAGCTTTACCATCACCACCAGCTGCTTGGATGTTCATCTGAAAGGATGTAAATTTGTAAAATCAGGAACTTGAACTATGATAAGATCTTCTTCTGAATCGAAGTTTAAGAGATATGCTTATAATCTGTGATTCGAAGAAAAAAACTAGATATTCCCTTTGGGATTTGAATAGATTTCAGCCTTTCGGTACTAAAAACATTATACCATAACAAGTTGAGCCGACTAATGGCTTTGTCGAGTCAGCTCACACAATGAAATTATTGTTAATGCCATATGACCCAACATATTCGCTATATTTACCTCATATGTTCCACCAGAAACCATATCAGCATTTCTATAGAAACCACCAGAAACCATGGTCCCTGTTTTAACATCTCGTGCTAGTTTTATTTGTAGATCATTTGGTTTATTAGTATCAATGAGAATATTGGCTTCACGATACTCAAGTTGTAGTCTGTTACCACTAGAATCATAGTTCTCAGATCTAGTGAACATTCTCCATTCTGGATCAGTAAAAAGGATATCTTGTGTTGGACAGGGTGATCCAACTGGAGTTGGTAAGTATAAAATTGATCCTACAAAAAGTAAGTTTTATTAGCATTATGAGGTTTTAGATGTTGGGGGGATATCATTTGCGACTTCATTGACTTTGTTGAAAAAACTTAAACTATTACTCAGATCATACCATATATTGACTGCTTTCTCGATGAATGAAGAATCCAGGTACAAGTAGTACTTTACCTGTGACAGTAGAACCCGAATGTATCCAAACGATATCTTGTCTATAGTCTGTACCATCAACAACATGACCACCAGTTGGTTCTGACGTATCATAAATTACTGGTGTTGTTTCTACTTCAATCTTTAAACCTGCTTTATTCTCTACCTCTAATTTTACTATGTATGGTCGGGATAACTGGAAAATACAAACAAATATTATTAATACAATGATAATTGAACACTGTCCACAAAAAGTCATCGTCCTAGAAGACGAAATTATAATTTGAATTGTCTAGGAATTTTCATGTTCCATATCCAAACATGTAACCGGAAATATTAAGCAGGCTGGGATCCTTCCTCGGTCCAAATCTGCCATTCGTCATATATATTGCACAATACATTTTGCTATCATTCATTCACATTTTGGAAACAAACAGGAACTATGATTATCAATTTTTCGTATTTTTTGTATCTTTGGGTATGTATTTAAAGTGCATTTCTGCGTCATTTTGTCAGCAATTCTAACGAGTACGACAGGAGTAATATCATGGGTATAATCAGAAAACAAAGAGAAGCTTTCAAACCTGTAGTTCTAGTTCTAAGAATTGATAAGATGTATAATTCTCATTCAGTTCAATAGGTTGTACTATAGTTGTTCTTGTAGCACCAGTTTCACATGTTGATTCTTCAATCAAACTGACTCGGAAACATTTGATACCAGATTCATCATCTATATAATCTTTCCAATCAACTATTAGAGATTCCGAAGATCCAGAATACGACATTTTCTAAAATAAAGTAAAAGGTAATGAGGTTTTAAATCCTATGTTGAACATTTGAGTGTCATAATGGAGAAGATCAGCCTCAATGTACAAGAAAATCAGAAGCAGTAGCTGGGCTTATTTTGTCCAACTTTCAAATGATGACAGAGTCAATATTATGTATGTGTGTGCTGTATTCTTTAAGGACCCTTCAGACGCATTATTTGCTGGCAGTGCATTCGTTAAGAAGTAATAACTTCCTGGAGTCATATTAATTCAGTCTTCAGTTAATGAAACTTATCAACATACATGGAAGATTTGGAGTCTCTTGTGAAGGGAAAAGTCGAGAATCACCAAAACTCTCCGACATTTAATATCTGAAAACTTGTAACTTACCATGTTATAGTATGGTCCGACCTTGACCTGACCTTGAACTGGTAGTGTAATGTCAACATGGAAATAAAAACTTGTTGAATTACATTCTCCAGCATTATCTACACCTGCAATAACCATTGAGAGTTTTATAACATGCTGTTCTGAGTCTAAGAATAAGTTTTATAACATGCTGTTCTGAGTCTAAGAATAAGTTTTATAACATGCTGTTCTGAGTCTAAGAATAAGTTTTATAACATGCTGTTCTGAGTCTAAGAATAAGTTTTATAACATGCTGTTCTGAGCCTATGAATAAGTTTTATAACATGCTGTTCTGAGTCTAAGAATAAGTTTTATAACATGCTGTTCTGAGCCTATGAATAAGTTTTATAACATGCTGTTCTGAGTCTAAGAATAAGTTTTATAACATGCTGTCTGAGTCTAAGAATAAGTTTTATAACATGCTGTTCTGAGTCTAAGAATAAGTTTTATAACATGCTGTTCTGAGCCTATGAATAAGTTTTATAACATGCTGTTCTGAGCCTATGAATAAGTTTTATAACATGCTGTTCTGAGTCTAAGAATAAGTTTTATAACATGCTGTTCTGAGTCTAAGAATAAGTTTTATAACATGCTGTTCTGAGTCTAAGAATAAGTTTTATAACATGCTGTTCTGAGTCTAAAAATAAGTTTTATACGTGCTGTTCTGAGCTTGAATAATATGTCTTTTTCGATGTCTTTAGTTATCTTTTTGAGCGACGTGATCATCTCTCAGAGATTATAGTCGAAACGTACTTTTGTCTATACGAACACAATAAAAACTGATCAATTTGTAGTAGCTAAAGAACAAACTTGTGGTCAAAATAGATTTAAAATTTTGGTAAAAACAGACTACAAAAATGGCATAAAGTACTTCAAGTTTATTGAAATTGAAAAATAAAATCCAGGACCAATCAGTTTTCTGGGGTGAAAATTGTAAAATTGCTATTAAATAAACTACAAATACCTATAACAGTAACAAAATATCCATGATCCTGTTTTAGAACACTATCTGTATACTGTAAAAATGTATCAGTTCCCACATTCGTCACATCCAAAATGTCAAATAATCTTTTTCTTTCTTCCTCTGACATCTTACCACCTTCGATCTGTATTTAAAATAAGAAGTATGTTAGTCGTTTTTGATTGACTCTGACACCTTTACAAAAGACTTAATTTGTTTTCTGAATTAAGACAAACAAATGTAATGGATTTTAATTTAAATGCCGATTAACGTAAAAGCAATCATTAGATTAGTTATGCTGGTCTGGAGCACCAGAATCATTAAAATTTCAATGAAAAATTAAAATTGGACAATCTGAAGTTCGTAATGGTTCATTTCTGTAAACTCACCAGATCTCGACAGTTTAAGCTATTATTTCTAGTTGCTATAGCAACATAATACATCATCATACCAACTTTAGAATCAAATTCATTCCATGGAATATCAATAACTGTATTATTACTGATATATTCTGTCATTTCTATTACTCCAGCTGAAAACAGACAACGTAAGATTCCAACTCAAAAATAGAACAACTAATAGCAATTTACGACGACTCTCATTTCACCCCTCCCCATACCTGCTATTTAAGAAATGGGAGTAATTGTGTAGATTCACAGCGATTCCTAATTCTATACGTAATGTCTTGCAATCGTTTTGTAGGAAGCATAGAAAGAGGTACTCAAATTCTGTATTGAAAATGAAAGGCATACCTTTGACACCATCATTGTAGCCTGACTGGAAACCATTGGATGTTACTTCCGTCATGGCCATGGATTCACTGTACGCTCGAACAGTGACATAATACGTAGCTTTTAATGGTACAAGTTCAAGATCATAGAATATTACTGTTGTATTTAAACCGACATTTGTATATGGAACAACATTATCTCTAGTTTTAGGGAATCTTCTGTCAGTTCCTAAAGCTACTTCATAATATCTGATTGCATTGATAACTTTTCTCTCCGAACCATGTACTCCAGGATTTCCTACAAATAGAAAATATGTTTGGCATGAAAAGCTTTTGGGTCAATATCATGACTGAACATTATCATTGTTGACGATTACCATATTCTTTATGAAAAGCTTATCTCACACAAGTGTATTAATGTTTTTTCCAAACCTTTTGCAGATAACACAAGATCAGAATTAAGCATAGAAGATCCAGACCTTGCATACAGATATATAAAATAGACCCGTAAGATCAATAATCCATTTCTTTTGTTTAAGTAAATAGTTCATTCTAAAATGTACCTGATTCTATCTCAAATGGTGGAGAGTCATCATCCACACCAACTCCAAACCCTTGCCAATTAGCCGAGGCTTTATTCACCATAAATATCTTATTAAGATCATATCCAAAAACATCTCCATCATTTACACGTCCTGGTATTACTGGCTCTAGCTGGATTGTCACTCCATTAGAACGTAGAATGTAGCTGTAATCTAAAGCTGTTGTTACTCGTAGTAAAATGTAATATCTTTCACCATCACTTAACGATAGTCCATCATTGACCCCAAATGTTGATCCTGAAAAAATTCAAGATTTATTTAAGGCGGGATAATCAGCCGATTGGGTGTTGCCTATCTTAACTCAAGCACCCAGCATCCATCCAGGAAATTCAACAGCAATATCCTCTTGAAATAAAAAAGAGCATTCTTTCCTGCGAAAATATTATCAGCAACCCCACCTGACGCACGCAAAAAATCAAAATATATATCTTTCTATTACTATACCTAATGTGTCGGTGAAATTCTGGACAACCAAGCCATCCAATCTGACTATTGACCACTCATATCTCTTCACAGGACAGGGTTCTCCAGTCACATCCCATCTAGCTTTTATTGTATCGATACTGGTCTGATAATCTCTGGAATAACGGATTTGTGTTTTATTCAATATACTATTGTAGCATCTTTCCAGACAATGAGGACAATTTCTGCATTTGGATCAGCAGTGTACTTTATGGAAGTTTTTATCGCATAATTTCGGTCAGACCTGAATACTTCCTCTAAGAATGGACATACAAGTCTCATACTTAGTCAACAAGTGTATATATTCATCAGTTGGACTTACCAGGTGCGATGACTACAGAATAGAATCTCTGTATAAGTCGATATTTATTAAACTAAATAATTATTGAAACTATCTTCTAAGCGTGTTTAAATTACTTAGTTTTATGAATTATTGTTGGACTCTTTTATATTTATGACACCAATTAAGTTCACTGATGAACAATGACTCATTTTGGTGTAATCAATAAATCATTCTGACTTACATATCTCCATGATGACTGTCACCATCCCAGACTCCAATATGAGAGAGTGGTTGTTTCCCTTGACTCAAATACGATATATAAATACCGTTAGACGTCGCCACCGTACTCAATCCTGCTTCATTAATGGCTTTGACAGTTACAAATACCTTTTAAAAGATAAGATGAAATTTGTTTTATCTATGTCAATCTACTGACATTTTTATATTTTTCTATGTATTAAATAGTACAAAAGGATACACAAATGGCCTAGTTTTGGGTCCTGCTTGTTTAGATTCCTTCCCTATTGATTACATGATAAAAAAAAACCAGCCTACCTGTCTCAATCCATTCAATACCAGATTTTTAATAGTAAAATATCTTTTGTCAGTAGGTACTGTAAAGATTTGTTTAACTTGGCCACCTCCAGGTGTAGTTCCTATTGCAATTTCGTGACTACAACATAAGAATAGCACTGTTTTTATCACAATCTAGTACCAAACTACATGCTGTAGTAAATCAAACTACATAGCTAACAATCCTGACTTCTAGGTCTACATAGCCAACAATCGTTACTACTGGATTAGTAAATTCTGACTACATGTACATAGCCAACAATATTGGTGTCAGAATCAGTATATTCAGACTATATACATAGCCAACAATATTGGTGTCAGAATCAGTATATGCAGACTATATACATAGCCAACAATATTGATTTCAGGATTGTTAAATGTGAACTACATATCCAACAATCTCGACTTCGGAATAAGTAAATTCTGTCTATATTACAAATAATCTTGCTACAGGATTAGTAATTTCTGTCTACATAGCCAATAATCTTGACTTCGGGATTGATAAATTATGTCAACATAACCAACAAACTTGCTTCAGGATTAGTAAATTATGTAACATAACTAACAATTTTTACTTCGGGATTGATAAATTCTGTCAACATAACCAACAATCTTGCTTCAAGATAGTAAATTATGTCTACATAGCCAACAATATTGACTTCAGGATCAGTAATATAAACAAAAGTTACATACCTAACAATCCTGCTTTCAGGATCAGTAAATTCTGACCAGGCGACGTTGATTGAGGTCAGGGATTCCTGGCATACTGCATCTATCTCATCACAATCTAAAAATACAAATTATCCAGTATGCTAGAAATTTCAAGTTGAAATCTCATCTTCACAATGTCAAGCTATTATAAACTCCGTCTTATATATTGGCATCATTTTCCTTGTATCACAGTTTGTGAATGCAGCAATTTCATTGGATTAAACGTAAACAATTACAACCAATTAGGGCCCTTGGCATTGTGAAAATTATCACTTGGGTATAAAATAATGGCAATTAGCGCAACGTATAGAAGTTCAACAACAAATAACGTAAAAAGTGACCTTGTGAACTGATACTTCAGTATTTCACAGAGAGCCAAACTGTTGCGATGGTTTGGTAAATTAAAAAGAGCCAAAAACGTTTGCTTGCAGCTTTCGCACAATACGAGAATAGGTTGAACCGAAAGATGGTCACAAGTACTAGGAAAATAAAAACTGTGTTGATATTTCCTTATTTCACTACAGAAAGTTATACAGTCATGTATTAAACTTACCTTCTTTCGTGTTACAACTATAAGTATTGAGTTCTGATGTAGATCTATCACTTGTAACGTTTATAATATATTCTGTCTTCAACTCAACAACACGACTAGCGACTGGTGGTGTAACATCTACAGTAATACTATTTGATACAGCTGATATAGTATGGCCAACAGAGTTCGTAGCTGTCACCATAACATAATATTTCTTACCATGACTTACATCACCAACAAGATCTGGAACAAATTATAGCTTTAATTTATTGTTCCTCAACCGATTAGAGCAATTGAACGAAATCTCGGTTGGTCCCTTCTTCTGCTTTCTTAATGTATTCAAATGACTTTCACAATGACTGTCTCAACCGATTGTTGCGATATTTGGGGAAATTCAAAGAATATGAATTCTTAAAATTGGAAGGAATCTTGGCTGGTCCGTATGATTTCCCAATTTATATCAATTTTAATATTCTTGTTGTCTTATGGATAATATAAAAATTTGTTGTTCATCTGATCGTTGCGATGGTTGGAGAAATCCATAGGATGCAAAAACGTTTGCTTGCAGCTTGAGCTGAATGAGACTGGCGGTATTGGGAAAAAGGGGCCAAACAGCAAGCTCAAAATAATCAAAAGTACCAAGAAAATAAACCATACAACTATTACTCACTGTCTATTATATAGGATGTTGTATGACCAGGGATCTTTACAGGCTGGACGACATCTGACAAACCTTCTTGTGATCCCAAACTAAAGTGAAAGTTTTTAATTGGACTCTCATTATCTATAAAATTATTCCATGAACATTTCATCGCAGTGTGAGGCTAAAAAAATAATTAAAAGAGACTCATTCATTGGTTAACCTTAAATTCAAAAGATTTTCTGAAAGAAATTCTGAAAGAGGGTTTTTAGACAACTTACAAAAATACGAAAACATGAAACCTTTAGAAAGTAAACGATAAGCTTTGGTTCAAGGAATTGAATTAACAGTTACCTGAATAAAGCCAGGGCAAGTTACAACACCCTCACTAGGTGGCGTGGTATCAACTATCAATGTAGCAGACGACTTTCTTCCAGTTAGTCCGACATTATTCACTGCCCAGAAATTTATAATGTTTGGTCGACCTGCAATTGACATATGAAAGAAAAGTTACCAAACTATTCTATTTAGTATGATGAGTTTCCTGAAAATTAATGATACTTTTAGAAAATGTACCACACTTCCACATTTCACTTCGGGAGAATATCAGGAAAATAGTTCATTAAATGGGAGACATAATTTGTTTTATCCATTTTAACTAGAAGTTTTCACTAAGCTCATACCATCAGATATAGGTTTAGCATCACCAACAGGTAGTGATCCTTCACCATCCAGGAAGACAGAGACTTTAGCAGCCGATTTGATATCAGCACCATCAGGATAAGTACCAACAGAATACCACACCTCTGTTATATTACTTTCTAGATCCCGAACTAACCACTCAGCTTGAATTGAATCCACTTCAGATTGGTAAATCTTCATACCAGGTTCCAGTTTCTTTCTATCAAATACTTCAGACAGGCTGCCAGACAAAAAAAATCAAATTATTGGATAAATAATAAGATTTTCAGATATTGATAAATGTTCAAATTATGATTTACTTCAGGGTGTAAATCAGACATCATGTTCACATGACGTGTTCGGTTTGATTAAAAAGTTTGAATTTTCTAAATATGAACAGGTTTACCTAAATCTTTTTTGTTACGCAAAAAGTACAAAGCTCTGAAGCTGACCTCGAATTGAAGGCAATACTAATATTTTATGTGGCAATGTTTGATGGCAATGTTAAAATGGTATCTTTACCTTTCAATAGTGATACTAGGAGGAGTTGTATCAACCGTAAAACCATCAGAAGTAGATTCTAGAACATTTCCAACGTTACTGATACCTCTTACAGTAGCATAGTACTTTATACCAGATTCTAGTGGTAGGATAGCTTGACCATAACCAGAACTAGCAATGCCTTGAAAATTACAAGAATAGAATTACTCACTAAATATGATTGATATATGATGTACCAATGTTTCGCCAATTTGTTGTTAGTGGCTTCGGGTTTCGTTCATTAATCGAGTTTAACATCACTCTGTTTTAACCTGTAGTACCTGTAGAGAACAGCGAGAGACGCTCGTTTCAAACTATCCATACCAAGAATAATACACTCTTTCTTAAACAAACAGTTAGGGATTTGTTCTAAATTAGGTCACCCCAACCAACTTTTTCAACAGAAGAACATAATTATGTTTTAAAGTTTACCATTTCCTGGAACGTCAGTATCCTCTTGATGGATCAAACCGGCTTCCATAAAAGGCTGAACCTCTTCTCCACCAGCTGTAGTACCGACTGCCCAATCAAATCTCGAGATACCATGGAGAGCACTTTCATATCCAGAGAACTGAACAGTCACAGTTCCAGTTTCTAACTGGTAGTCAATATCTGTAGTTGACCCTCCTTCTGTTCCTTCAGCACCATCAAACACAATTCCTGAATAGCACAAAAAACAAAAGTATATTCCTCAAAATAAAGTTTTCATTTGGAATTCATTGCATGAGAGCATCGATTTCATGTAAACTTGGTGTAAGATTTAATTTTTAATAGCTGAAATCAAAAGAATTAACGTCACTATCAAATTCGAATCCATAGCATATCGATTGCCAGTTAACTTGAAATTTGAAAATATAGTGAAAGTCTTAGAAAGTCATTTCCTTACTGTTAATATAAAATTCTCACGGCAGTTTAAAAAAAAAACCGGAAATGGTGCAGTCATCGTAGCATTGTCTGTTGCATTACAGGAGAATCAGACGTCCAATTGTAATTCTAACAATATACCTTTTAACAAGCTATAGCTTTTTAATAATAAGTGTGCAGCTGTGAGGAAAATGGCTGACCTGCTTTATCTTCTTCTACCACTTCAATACGAGTGGAACTTTTCACTGTGCTTTCCAGACCAGCACCATTCACTGCCTTGACAGATACATAATAGTAAGGAGTGGTGGTATTCTTCACTTGAAGATTGAGGTTGTCAATGTATCCATCGTGGTTTTGACCATAACTTTTCCATTGTAAAATTTCTTGTCCTCCTGAAACAGTTTATCACATATGGGCTTCTGATAAATGTTAAGTTCATTTCATTCGAGTATTTTTGAGAAAGGTGAAGATCATTTTATATCGGTATTACTGAGAGAGGATGTTATGTTTACACACACGACAAATCCCGTTGCAGAAATGATGTGCCGGAAGAGTGAACAAACACTACTCGCTGGGACAACCGCATAGTACTTTAGGACAAAGGATTCAAGAAAAGCATTTTAACAGACACACATTACTTCTTTGCATCATATTATGTTCAATCAGCTGCTGAATTTTTCAATACATCGTCAATACATTATGAATAGTAAAAATACCTTCTGTGGTACCAACTGCCACAAAATAGTCTTTAATACCACTGACATCATCAGTACCAAACCACGAGGCTTTGATACCAGTTTTATCAGCTTGTAATACTACACCATCAATATCTTCTTCTGTTTCACCATCAAATACTCCAACAAATACCCATAGTATCTGAAAAGTTACAGTTGCATCAAAAACAACTGATCAAAAACTGATGACATCGTCAAAATCATCATACGCAAAATGAACATTGTTCTACTAGGATTTCGGTGGTATCTTCTTTAAGGATTTCGCATCGAAAGTTGGGACAATTGGACGTTGATATTGAATTTGGGACAATTGGACGTTGATATTGAAAGTTGGGACAATTGGACGTTGATATTGAAAGTTGAGACAATAAATAAGACTAATTCTTTACTATTCTTTACTAATTGCTAAGGATTAGATTCAGACGCCAGACATAGAACTGTCCCACTTGCGTCTAAGACTATAAAGATTATTAGGTCTCTTGATTCCATTTGGTGTATTTGTATCTATAAATACATAAAGCATAATTTTGATCGATCTTCGTGCTCTTATCCATGTTGACCTCCTTTTAATCTTACCTTTGGTGGAGTGTTGTCCAGTAAAAATCCATTAGTATCAAACGTTGCTACCGATAAAGCTTTATTGATCGCACTGACTCTAACACTGTATTTAGCTCCATTTTGTAAGGTAAGGCTTGTCACTTCTAAAGAATCTTCTTCGGGATTTCGTATTTCAGTCCATTTACCTTTCCCTAATGAAAATATAGTAAGAATCAGAAAATCCTATATTTTTTGAATAAATCCAGACTTGGAAAGTAAGTAAAATAATAGGATAGTGACATAGTTAACCGGATTTCCCTTTTTTGAGCGTTTGAAATGCTGTCGTCTTGCATCTAAAAATCAGGTTATTACGATAATTGCCCCTTTTTCATTTCATTGTTGTGCATGTATTTGATGTCGTAAAGTCCGTTTGAACAAGAAAGATGTATTTCAAAATAAAGAGTATTTGGAATGGAAAATTTCATATATCAATTACCTGGATATATCTGATGTTTAGAACCTTGGTATAACTGATAAATCTGGTATTTATAATGATCTATTCCAGATTCTTCATCAATAAATTTATAATTAGCCGAGATGAAAGAATTTGATGACTGAAAAAGAAATCAATTCAAATCAACTTATATAAAATTTATATATTGTGATTTTCAGTTAAGCAATAATGAAAATTAATCCATCAGCATGCTATCCAAATGGTTTCACGATCAATTAAATCTTGAAAATATACCCAAAAGATTTATAAAATCAAAACCTCCTTCTATAATCTGCTCAGAGGCGCATTCTAAGCTTCTTGAAATCACCATTCATTTTGTGACGGGTGATCAGAACTGACACACATGTCCGTCGTTACTTGTTAATACTTTCAGCTTTTTGTAGTTGGTACCATCTGCGTATTTAGGGGAGCAGACCTGTGAAAGTTCTTATTTTGAGGTGAAAGTTAAGATTTCTAAGTGCTCCAAATTCATCTCAGGCCAACTAAAATCCGGTGCCTTCTTGGGTTCCACTGGCAGCTCTCCTCCCCCGGTCTTAAGATATGCTTCGGAGAAACGCCTCTCCTTTTTGGTTCCCTCAAGCATTTTCTAGATACGCCGCAGACTGGTATATTCATCAGAGACTTGTTAACGTCAGTAAGATTCGAACTAGATAGATAAGTAAGCTGAATATAGAATTATGTCCGAATTTTACCTGGTAATCAACGTCTTGTCTCTGTTGACCTCCATCATTTAAATAAATTAAAGTAGGTGGAGTCAAATCAACAACATATCCATCTGTGTGTTGAGTAATTTTGCCCAGAGCGCCATTCGTGGTTAGTAATTGTATTTTGACACTATCTTGATGGTGAAGATGGAAATTATGCCATTCGAATGAGTTTGTAGCATTGTCAACTTCGTGCCAATCTCGTAATATTTCAAAATCTTCAGATGTATTCCTGAAAGAATATTATGAATTTCATTTATTGTCTATTTTATAATGTAAACGTAAATTGTCATCGCTTTCGTTTGTCCATCCGTCCTTGTACGATCTACATTGACCCTTTAGAGGCTGTACAGTTTTTATCAGATTTGTTTACAATGTACTTCGATGGGATTTCGAAATTCGCGATTTTTATTTGAGTCTGAATTATGTGCATGTTTTTCATAGCTTGTGCGTAAGAAGTATCTATAGCGGACCTATGGCTTACAGTCTTAATCAATTTTTGCGTTAGTAGGGCACGATAGCTTTAAAAATGCCAAGAACTTTGCGGACGTGTGGACGTATAGTTTTATAGTCTTTTTTAACAATGTGGTCCTTACTTGGCTCTTAGTATCTGAACTGCAAACGATTTTATACTAGATTCTGGATCAAACTGCCCTTTCCATTGCCCTGCAACAGTAGCTGTAGCACCACTAAACTGTATATCAGTAAAATTATCTCTTTTTCCATCTACTACTTCTCCTTCAACTGGTACAGTTAGGTCAACAATTACTGAAAATAAAATCCACATAGAGTTCGCTTGATGATATAAGGACAGTTCTTATTATATTTTAAAGATTAATAAATTGGACATAAGTGACAATAGGGATATACAAACCAAAAATTAACACAAATGAACAACTCGTTTATCAATTGTTAATCATCACTCGCTTATTTCTGCATTTAATACTCACCACCATCAGATTTTCCAGATACATTCAGTTGTTGATGACCAGCATTAAAAGCCCACAACTCGATATAATATTTCTTGGAATGTTCTAGCAGGCCATCTTCGAATTCTATACAGGCTTCGTGTGTTCGATGATCAAAATCAGTTCCATTGGTCAGATACATATCATTGTCCGATGAGCGAACAAACACAGAGAAATATGACAAACCAGACTCGGGATCGTAGAAATCTACCCAATTGGCACAGATCTGAAAAGAAACTGGTATTTCTGACACAAGATCAATACTACAGCATATGAATTCGCGGAAACCAGAAGAACAAAGGCGTAAATAAAACCAAAAACAAAAAGTAACCTTTTGTCAAAAATGAAAAATGTTATGTAAATATATGTCGTGGCATTACTGTGTTTATTACCATCTGATCAGTATATTGGGTAAATATTGGTATGCCTACTTATGTATTGACTCAGTTTTCAATTGAATATAATATTCAATACCTTATTACTATCCTTGGTAAACATCAGATCATGTTTATAAAGAGGACCATCATAAACTTCTCCTGCTATAGGTGGTGTAACATCAATAATTAGAGGACTGTCCGCTGATCTCAATGCAGACATATTCACTGAAATACAAATAGATTGTTTAAGACAGGCATGTTCACTAAAATACAATTAGATTGTTTAAGGCAAAAATTCAGTGAAATAAAAATACCCTTTGTTCACGGAGATACAAATTGCTTCTGGAAATGAAATGATTGGAGATTTACATTACTGCACTGTGTGGGCTAATTAAAATGGCCTCTGAAGGCGGACATGTTCATAGAAATACAAATAGCTTCGTGAGGCAGACATGTTCACTAAAAGATTGTATAGCATAAAACATCTTTTATCAGAAATGGTATTAACTACCTCGAAAACCAAAGATATGTAAACATTGGAGTCTTACCATTATTCCAGGCCTTTATCTTAACCCAGACTGGGATACCTCCTGGTAACTCTGTATTGTGAATGACTTCTCCAGAATGAGGATATCTTTCCCAGTCTCTTATAGAACAATCTTTAGTTGTTCTTCCCAGACAGATATCAACTTCTTTAACATCTGATTGAGGATCACTGAATAATAAGATGAATGGTTCTTTATTCATTAAAATATTTTATACTGTTTTATAACGTCACTAACGCAAAAAATGATAATAATATCAACGGGGCTTTATCGATGGTGACGTCATAAAACGTTGAGTTTTAGAGGAATTACAAGAACCACAGAACTGATACTTGAATGGTGCACACATTTACTAATGCTTTCACTGTCCCCATACACACAAAAAGCTTCAACCCCATTACAATACCTTTACCTCGATCTTATTTTTGCTTTTTTTGTGTCTTATATTTAGGTGTAAGGAGACTTTTATTGGTTTATAATTCCTACCTTGCGTTATATTCTGCTGATAAATTCTTACTCTCCTCTTCATATTGTACATTAAATACCTCGTGTACAAAGGGAACTGTATTGTCAATAGTATACTTTGTTGAATGACAGAAAGTTGTCACAAGTGGTCCACCATACTCTACTTTATTTAAAGCTCTTACTGTCACATAGTAATTACCATCTGTAGAAAAATACCATTCTCATTATACTTTAATAATTATGCTTTCAATGTTGATAAATATGGGTACTTACGGTGTATTTTTGAACAATAAATACGATTTACATATGTGTTTGATTTGTTTGCAGGTTTATTCGATATCAAATAGAAAGACAATAAAGTATCTTTCAAATGGGTAAATGATACCCTACCCATATTGCAGGCCTAAATTAGCAAATGGGATTGAACACTTTCACCCTGTTTTAACGATAATACATTTGTATTTTGTAGACGAGGCTTTATTGAATTATATACCTGGTATACGGTTGTCTTCTTCACGTTTTATCAGACCTTCATGAGTCCATTCAGAATCACTGAATAAATGAGCGTGTGGATCTCTGTGTTCTTCAAACGTTTCCTCACAAATGTCATGTCCAGCAGCAAAAGAGTATCCGTGAATTCCAGTTTCTTTGTCATGAATTCCATCCCAATTAGCTATTTATATAAAATGACAACAATTACACTGAATGTTACACCTGCATCAAATATTATCTTTTCGGGTAAAGAAAAACAAAGAAAATACAGGTAAAATTCATTGGAAACTTTCGGGCCTTTAGCTATGCGCTTCATAGAGTTTTGTTGGCACGCTAAGAAAGAAAACTAAAAAGAAAATACCTGATATAAATCGGTTTGCTCGGAAATATTTTTGATCTAGTAACGGTGTATGACCATTAAATACTGTTTGAGAGCCTTCACCATCAATTATTATCCTGAAACGCAATAGTTTGAGAAATAGTGAGATCTTGTGAAGTAAAGTTTTAGTGGTTAAGAAGTTTAGATTACTTAGAACCTAACACTAGCCTTCAAAATGTCACGTACTTGTAAAATTCTTAATGGAAAATTTAGCCAATGCTGATTGGATGAAAAATTGGGTTAGGTTCTTAAAACAGAAATCCATAATTTACCATTTATTGCTCGAAGGAAATCTTATTTGCTTTATTGTTTATATTGGGCTCACCTATGATTTTTAACAAGTTTTGATTGGTCAATACATAACAAGCGCCAATCTAATTGGTCAGAGGGTATCATTTCTGGACATGGAATCCATTCTAAAACGTCATTTGTTATATTCTTCATTTTACCTGGTAAAATAGTGAAACATAAATAACCTTTCACTGAATATTGCCATCAGATTGGTATACATTGCACACAATATCGTCAAAAACCAATATTTATATATTCAGTAATGTCTGTATATATTCCGCCTATTTTAATTAAGCATCAATTGATGATGCAAATAGCATATCTTCTGTAATTGAACTAAATTCAAGTATATAGACCGTAAAAGTAAACATATCACTACATACCATCTCCAGGAACTGGTGGACTGATGTCAATTAAAACACCCTTTGATGAAATAATATTCCTGAATCCAAGATGGTTTTGAAGATCCAGGTTAAAATAGTAGAGCTTGTTGTGCTGTAGCTGTTTGTCTGTGTATGAGAATTCATACGCAAACCCAATACCAAGTCGTTCCATGTGCACATATTTCCCACTCTGAAAGAATTAGACGTGGCAAATTATTAGGTGGCCCACGAAAGTTTCATAATAAATATGTCATTGATATTATTTCGATAGTGTTTAATTTTTATGTTAATCCTAATTTTTGAGAACATGCTACTGAAGAAGCAGCACGTTATTTGGGAGATTTATTAAGCACAAGTGGTTTATACAACCATTGAGTTACTTTAAAATCTAGATCTGTCACATTACATCTACGATGACAATGATCTTAATTTACAAACAAAAATTAACAGTAAAAAGAAAAACATTGCTTGTTTATGTAAATTAACTTACAACAGCAATTTTATGTTCATGTCCTTCGATAGATTCCAGTAATTCACAATTACCACTACTGCCAAAATCATAATTTACTGATAGACATTTTGATGCTGGTAATTCTAAACATTTCTTCAAACAGGCTTGATAGTAATCGAACTTATGTTGTGAAGCTACCGGAGCGATCAGTCGACCACTTTTCTGCGTGGTAAAGCGACTAACAGCAACATCACCATGGACATCTGAATTAGCTGTAAAAAAATACAGAAACCTCTCAGAGTTCTGCACATTTCATGGTCCAATTGGAGTACTTAATACAGCTGAGCTCATAGCTGATATAGTGTATGTAAGGTTGATCATTATTTTCCAGTTTCTAAATATCAAGAATTTTTTTGGACCTACTATTAGCCGCCGTTATTCAATGTTTCAACAGAAGTACACCTACCATTGTAGGGTTCTTCATTTTTAAACGCAAGATCAACAGGTTTCCAATGCTCTATTTCATCGCCATGGATATCACGTCCAAAACCAACACCAACTGCTGCATATGCTAAATCTGAATCTTCAAATGCCACAACAGAAGCTTTCAATACTCTAGGATTGCTTGATGTGATGAACTCTGCAGTAAATCTGCCTCCGGGTAAGGATACGTCGTACGTTGGTATGGAACAGGTCACTGTGCTTGCTGTATCTTCACTGTTTTTACCAACAACTGTAAAATATATTGGCTGACCATGTTGTTTAAATTTCTACAACAAAGAAAACAAACCAATACAAACATTCATAAAAAGCAACCTATCGTAACATTATTTCGCTCCACAACAGTTAAAAATGAAATAAGAAGTCAAGGGTTACGTTTCACGCAATACTATACTGATAGAATACGACATTTCGGCTTTAACTGCCGATGGGTTGTCAAGATTATATCATGTCAGTTAAAAGATATGAATGCACTTCCAGACATTCTTGGACAAAATGCCAGTTACTCTTAAAAAATAATGGTTTGCATATAGAATTATCTTGAATATAAATACATCAGTTTTGTGAACTCCCCAGAGGGGATGACTTACATCTGTGATTATAGAAGACGGCCCACCGAGTTGTGTTTCTGAGAAAGCATCAGCTAAACCAGGTTTAGTACCAGCTGTAAGAAACAGTCTCACTTGACTCTTGTCATCACCGGCTCTTACAGAAATCTCGATGGCGGGTTCAGAATAATCCCGTCCTTTCAGCTGACGAACTGAACAATGTCGAGTTTCTGTGCTGGCAGGAAATCCTGCTGCTCGTCTTTTTCTTCCTGACTGAAAAACATTCAGGTGTTCTACTTTTCAACATCAAGTCCTTGCAAAGTTCTTCCATGTAAAGAACTAACAAAATGATTCAACATTTTGACATCTAACGATATATTTTGAAGCTCTGCTGAGCTTTTTCTGTTCTTATGTATCATTTATATTATTGTTCAGAAGCAACAAACCAAAATTATAATATTTAATATCATTATTATATCATTTTTTTATAAAAAAATAGAAATGGAAATATCAAAAATCAATCCTTACCTGTGTGTCCGTATATTCAGAGAATATCGGTGGAGATTTATCAATTTCATTTTTACCAAACTTCAGTATGTTCTTTTTAATGCTATCTGTTTGATATCTCCAGAGTTCAGTTTCAAACAAAACTTTTTGTATAGTAAAGAAGAATAAATTGATTTTCAATTTGACAATAGCTTTCAGTTTTATTTTCAGAGGAATCAGCTCCAAATCCATTGTAAATCTAAACAATTAATGAAATATACAATGTTATACCGTTGCGTACCTTAAAAACCTATATGTTGCATGTGAGTTGCGATCCACTATTTTTTATTCTCAACCACACTCACTGGTGTGGATGCCGCTTTACACAGACGTTGGAATGAAAATTGGAATGGTGCAAATTGATGCTATCAGTGTCCCCGATACACATAAAAAGTTTAGAAAACTTCTTTACAATCACATTAATTCTAACTTAAAAATAAGACCCATCACAGATCCGAGGGAGAGGCCATAAACGAATAGCGTCATATGTGAGTCGTTTATTTGTTTCAAAGACATGGGCAGACTAAAATATGGAAAAATGAAGGAACTGACTAAGATATACAAAATCAAATACAAACCCGATTTCAAGAGGGAATTTAGAAAAACCAATTTCGGCTCGGGTTGGGAAAGAAGTTGTCACAATGTAACCTTCTAATCTCAGGCCTGCATACAATATAAACCCAATAGATAGCTCCCCATACGCTTTTACAGCACCATACGGCACTACTCCACCATAGGCTTTCATCTTCATGACCTTTGCTCCCAAATATATCTTCATACCATAGGAACATGATGCACCAAATGCTACAATAAAGAAAGAAATGGTTATATGATCAATCGGTGCAACAGTTTAACTTTAAAGGATTCGGTAAATGTAATAACTGCTTCAGCTACACCTTCGGTAACAAAAAACTATCTACTCACAAAACTCAACATATATGAAACCACCAACCAAAAAACCATAATTGACGTTAAATAGACTCAAGCTTTGTTCTGGAAGACTAAAATCACCCTCCAATGTAAAATCAAAAGACTTGAATATGTCACTCGTTGATCCATCTATTACAGCATTTAATATTTCAGAATACTAAAAATAAAATAACATTAAAATTAATAAAATTAATTAAATAACACAATCTTAGTTTTGAATTCCCCAGTATTATTATTCACAACGTTTCAACAATCGACACTGTCATCACCATGCAGGAGAAATGAGGAAGCATTATAAATAAGTATAACAGTATAAGTTAAAAGTATAAATCAAAATAAGTTTTGTATTCACAAGGAGAAAACCGACATGTGTTTTTCCAAAAAGAAATCTTATGATGAAATTAATATTTTAGACATGAAATGAGTTAGTCGGGATTAATCAAGACGTAAACGTATCAAAAGTAAGGTGTATGTATGGTAATAGCCATTCATTACAATAATTGGGTTCTATGGTTGGCATGAAAGTATTGCTATAAGGGTTTTCAGATACGACGCAAACGCATTATTTTACTCGAAATGCATTAATATTGAAGATAATTTCAAAACAAGAAACGAACCCATGCAAAAAACATTACAAAACACGTAACACAGAACATAAAACATGTATGGCATGATCTGCATTAATGTCAATCTTACAATTTTAACTGAATTTGAACATATAACAATTTTATATTACCAGGGCAGAAACAAGATCTCTTAATTCATTGGCCAACTCGACAGCCTTTTCAGGATCAATGTTCTTCATATCAATCATAGCTGATATTTCTCCTATGGACATATTGGCTAACTTTAAACCCAGCATCTGAACACCCACACCAGTCAATCCTTTACCCACAGTGTATGTTTGACTTGATGTGTCCAGTATTGATGTTACAGCATTCAATATACCCAATATTTGTTCACCTAAAAATTCAAATTACATCCAAAATAAATTTCACATTCGTTTAAGTCAGATATGAGAAGTGACCTACAAAGAGAAAAGCCTGAAACCAAACTATGATTGAGTCTTACGTCCTCTAACTGGATTACAAAATTATGAGCTTTGTATTTTCCAGATGACCCCACTTTCCTCAATACTGTTTTACATACACTCTCTGTATACGAACTTTTATTTCCACTTAACATCAACAATATTTACTAAGATAATTCATAAATAAATACATAAATCATTTTCATTTGGAAAATCTTACATCCCTCTATGCCAATCTTAAGTTTTTGATTTTTAGAAAAGTAAATTATTGTGGAGGGGTTTGTAGATCCCATGGTTTTTAGTGCTGATCTGAGGTTATTCGCTTGTCCTCCATCTTTCCAATCTGGCTGTAAATTGCTCTGCCTTTGACTTTCCTGAAATAGACATTTCACGAATTACGGTACATTTATCAGTTTGATTAAAATAAGGTTACAATTTCGATTCTTTTTCGTTTCCGATGTTTATCGTTTATCATTTTCAATATTGTTTTTTTCATAATTTTACATAATAAAAGAATGGTCTCTGCCCCTCACCAACACAGAGTTATCAACCATCAAGCATAGTAAAAAAACGCTACCTTTTCAAGTTTAATCTTAGAAAGATATTTTTGTATATCTATATTAGATGCCCCTTCTTTCATCATTCTCTGTATCATTTCTTTATAATTAGCAAATTTTCTACACAAAACAAAAACATAATTTCAAAGAAATATTCCTTTGTGGTTATATAGTACCCCCTCAAACAGTTTAAAACCACACTCACTTTATGGATTATGGTGTGCTTTAATCAATTTGAGTGGACATGAATGGAAACAACAGAATGTTTGAGGACATCAATAACAACTACCATTAATTGGCGTTTACCTACCTAAGTGTCGTCTCTACTTTCGCAAACTATCGCCCCGAAACTTGTCAATTGCGAAAAGAATGTTCAAGAATGTTCGTCATTCGTCTCTCCACCAATGGTTCAAATTCAATTGGGTGGGAAAATAGAGAACTATTGATTAATCTGGAACAATCTGGACCAGAGTGGACCGATTGGAAAAAAATCTTTGGTGAAATGCGAGCATCATTTATAGGCTATGACTGAAGCAAGCGATCTCTGCACTGGGTCAAATTACGAACTAAACTCAATATAAATATTGTCTTACTCTTTTATAATGCTACGTCTCTTTCTTCTGTGATTACAGCCTGGTTTCAGAAGAGGTTTCTTATCCAATAGTTTCCAATATTTACATTGGTTAAAAGCACACAGTTTGAGGTCAAGGGAGGTCACATAGGAACTACCACTATCTTTTAACACAAAACTGAAATCAATGGCTTCTCCAATGGACTCTGTTATGTTGATATCTACAAAACATGTATAATATTATAATAATTGGTTAAACCCAAAAGGGCCCAACCCAAAAATATGGCATAAAGTAATATAAAATAGATGTTTAGATGGTAAATCAAAAAGGAAAAAAGAAAACTATATTAACTACAAGAACGTTCACCAATAGCATCGGGTTGCACCATCCGTTTTGTTTCAGTCAGAGTTGCACCATCCATTTTGTTTCAGTCAGACATTTTGTAGTACTTGCAATTGCACTAAAACTGAACATATCATGAGGTACATATCGCACAGACCTTTAGATACGACAGCGTGTGTTGGAATAATGCTAATAGGAACCATAAATGTCCCTGATACAAATAAATGGTCAGAAAACCTTGACAAAATTTAAAAAAAAATCATCTTATCATATAATGAAATATTCATGTAAACATAAACAATATCACTACTAACCATTTACTATAGGTTGAAGAGTTTTCTCCCATTTCTTATTCTCTAATGAATAAATCAATTTATTTTGACAATGATCCAATCTGAATGATGCATCAAGATTATATTGTCCGAGATATTCTATATCAACACCAATACAACATGATATTCCTAGACAGTTATCATCTAGCTGACAGACTTTAGAGATTTCATCTGGTAGAGTTACAGAACAGCCTGAAATAATGAGATAAAAATTATAGTATTGTCCCGACGTCTGGGCATCACTGTTCAATTTAAATAAGCGGGATTGCCTCGCAGTTTGTGACTCCTTTTGATTCCTATGATTAGCCAAAATCAAAATTCATCACGACGATCTGCAAATCAATTCAAATTGTAAAATTGTATATTTTTTTTAAGAATTACCCACCAAATCTAGAAACACACGAGAACTCTATATCCTTCAGGAATTTCCGTTATTGGCAAGATCCTTTGAATATTTACTACTGGAACATTTTAAATTGCAACCGAATTTTTTAGAAATGCGAATCAAACTTTATTTACCAAATATAAAATTTGTTGTGATAGACTGATAACATTTTTCAATCCGAATTGAACCCTGCTGGACTTGTACAAAGTATTCAAGTAAGATTAATGTACGATGAAACTGATACTTACTTGATTGTGACGGTTGAAGCTCACAGGGTTTAAAAGACCAGAAATCAAACGTTATTCCTGTAAAAAGATTAACAGTTTATTTCAGCAGGTTGTTTTATTTTACATAGGGGTATAATTCCAATCCCTCTTCTACCGCCTTGTTTATACGGCAACATTTACATACATATGAATTTGTTTGCATGTATGCAAATTCTCGCCGTATACAGAGGGCTTAAATTGACAGAGGTACTTTCAATTTTAATTGCAGCGGTGACGTTGTATGAACAAATATATATGCTGCTTTTACCTTTAAATGGTTGTGGTTTAGTAATATCACATGGGGAATATGAAATATCAACTTGTTTTAAAATTGGTATTTCTAATAAACAAGAATCCTCCTCAAAACAAACTTTTATCTTTACATCTGTTTTTATCTTATTTTCTGTGGGCATATTCACCAATTTATAACTGAAATGAAGAAGTATTGAACAAAAAATTCGGCTTTTATCATTCATCAAGTACCAGGTTGGATATCAACAATTTTGAGCCAATTGGATGCCCTATGATAGTAATCCGTTGAAAAGAACGCCCTCTTACGTTTACATCATTGTTGCTTGCAGATTTATTGATTTATTGATTTTGAATGCTCTCTCTTATGTCTATCGTGACACTGCACAGCCGTAGTCCTCCGATACGTGTATCCTTTCATAGTCTGACTCTTTTTTAATGTAATTAAAATAGACCTACTGTAATCGAACCCTGCCGGAAATGTGAAAGACGTCTTCTTTACCTGAAAAAGGGGAAACAGTATAATATTTCAAAAAATGTAGAATTCACTACGATCTTAATCTTTAAATAAATCAAATTGAAATTTTGTAATCGATCGATAAGCAAAAAGAAGGCAATTTTTTTCATTCAAAAAATTAAATTTACATTTCAATATTCTATACATACCCCATTCATATTCAAATAAGGAAACATTGTAACTTAATTTTCCTAAGGTCAAGGTCAGCTGAAGGTCACATATATCGACCTGGAACTTGAGATTAACAGTACGTTTGATTAACTCGATATAAATACAGCAGTCGATGGTTGAACAGTCGGTAGAGAAGTGACATCGTGATGAATCTGGTAAACTTATTAAGCTGTTAAATTTCTTACATTCTGGAAATAAAGCGATTTTGTATTGTACAACATTTACCATCATACGAAACGAATCACCATGTAAGAGGAATGATGAGGGGTCGAGTAAGGATCACATATTGTCAATGAAGTCAAAGGCACTTTTCCTCATGTTAAAAGTTAAAAGTGTGTTAAAAAGGAATCAAAGGAGGTGGAACAACCGGGTCAGGAGAGGGGCCTATAAAAAGTCACTGGTTCTTAACAGATTCGTATTCTGGTAACAAGGTCAGCAGCATAGTTTCGTATGCATTGACCATCTGAAATGAGTCCACCCTGAGGCAACTTCCAATTAACACTTCAGACACATTAACATGGTTGCTTATCAGGATCTGATTGGACCGTCATCAAACTGTGTTCTGTACTTTTATACTTGGTCCAGCTTACATAAAGATATCATGAAGATAAGGGGATATTCACCAACAAATCCCAAATTCTGGTACACACTTACCATTTCTCCAATTTCTAGAATCAATTGGTATATATGGAGAAGATTCTCTGTTGCAGGCTGGTTGTTCAAGAAGATCAGATAGACCGGTTTCATCCAGTAATTTAGATAGAAATACATCAGGCGATGCTATACCGGCTAACTTTTCTTTAATATTAAATGTTTTTAACGAAAATTCTGAAAATATCAAACAAATGCTGAATCTTTGCAAACTTTGTGGTTTACGTTTCAAATGTGTTACTGTCTTTAATGCGGAAGTGGTTACATGATAATGTTGCCGACACCAAAGTAGCAAGGTGTTTTCATAGCAAGTTCCCAGTCCCATTCGTAACAAAGTCCACCTAACAAGTTTCAGTCCAAATAATATATCCACTTGGGCACACCTGCAGCTCGTTGCCTCAATTTGCTTCATGCATGGAATCATTTCTAAAAATGTTAAAATATATTTACTGTTTTCTTGAAGCGATTTCTTGTAATCACATAAAGGTCGTGGAATTAGCGTTTTATCTAAAATCTGTTTCTCAAACAAACACTGTGTCTCAGATAAACAAACAGAAATATTGACACTGATTTCTAGAGATTTTAGTTGATCTACTTTGGTGATAATGTAACTGTTATGGAAGATATAAAAAATAAGAATATTGAGAATAAAGAAACAAACATCAACAACAGTAAAATTCTAGAATCGAACAAATTTTGTTTTTTGAAAGTATAAAGAAATGAAATTCAAACTTACTCAATTCGTATGACTCCCTTCAGATAGAAATGATCTGCTTCACCTAAGAAAAGAATACAGCAAATATTGCAAAAGTTTCAAAAAATATTGGCATGATGATCAATTAACAGAGGTATGTGTAATGAGTAGATGACCAAGGTGATAGTCTAGAATTCCCTAGTCTTGTAAACCACAAGGTAAAGTTATATAAGCAAACAAATATACCCAAGAATGTCTTTTACATGGGGATATATCAACTTTTCTCCTATTGCTGCCAGAAAACAGAGCATAACCCTTTTCTTTATGCCTTTATTGCCATCTAATCCCATGCTATCTTGGAAAGTTAACATGTGCGTGCAATGAAAAGTATTTACAAAAACTAAACCTTGTTCCCTTACCCCATTTATAATCAAATAGTTTCTGTTCATACGAGAGATTCTCAATGGTCAGAGTTAAGGTATAGTCACACATATTGATATCTACTAGAGTATAGATTGATGTATCTAGAAATCCTACATCAATACAGCAATCTATGTTGGTACATCTGGTTCCAATATGACAAGTAAAATACTTTGGTAGTTGAGGAAGATATTTTTCGATTTTGGTCATTGGACATTCTGAAATTTGAAAAAAAAATCAAATAATTCCTAATGACTGAAGAGAATTTTGTGGCCTACTTTTATACACTTTCTTCTTTTTCTTCTTCTTTTTCCATAAAAATCCAGTCCACCATATGGTGCATTATCAAACTTGTAAGACACCTGAAGACCTTTGGGCTGTTAGAAACCGACGACAATTGTTTCGATCCATAATGTCCAGATTCGTTTCTAGGTGGAAAGGACAAGCTGGGACTTCAGATCAGAAGGGGGACAAAGTATAATACATAAGAAATTTGAAACTGACGGGACCATGACCTCCTGTCCCTCATAAGAAACTCCACTGAAACTATGAATCTTTAATGTGTGCCTTAACATTCCGACAAATCAGTAAGAAGAAATATATATTATATACTTTTAGAGGCGGGCTAAGGATCCGAATCACTGAAACTTATCAGGGTCCCTGAATGAATTTTTTTAACCTATAAAACCTATATATGTGTGTCCTTTCTATTAAAACCGGAAGAAACGCATAACAATATTACCATTTTTCCATCCTTTACTATTTGCTGGAGAAAAGAGACTTGATGACCTCGAAACTGGTTTCGACTTGATATAACTGGCTATTTCCAACTTTTCATATAACTTATATCTCAAAGCAGTTGTTAAACTTTGTACACCAGTAGCTTGTTGCGTCTTTAACCATTCACTTAGTGAGAAACCTGAAAGGAACACATTAAATGACGTACTTTTTCACATCCTCATGGTTTGACAGACCAGACGTATAAGTGCAAGTTGCTTTCTTTTGGTTTAACACAGCACTACATATTCTATCAATCTTAATTCCATTTAATAAATATTTTTCATGAAGAAATCTGACCTTTCAAAGCTAGTGTACTATCCCAATCACAAGCTAATTTTGGTATTTTGGTGTTGATTAAAACAGGAACAGATAAGAAACATGATTTATCTTTTTCTAAACAAACACTGATATTTAAATTCACCAGAAATTTCTTCTCCGAGTTTAAATCATCTATAGTAAAACTGAAAACAAATTACTAGATCGTCAGATGAGGATTCAAAATAATATACTGGTCATACTTGATTTACTATACTTTACTATTTACATACTATATTTAATCATATCTAGTTAAAACAGAGTACAATTTTCATTGTGTGGAAAATGAAATGTGAATGTGTCGACTATTTAGTTATGAAAAAATGTAAGGTTGAAATGTTCCGAGGCTAATTTCCTGGTACCCTGTTCCCAAAGACAGTTGTATTGCAAAGCTATATCCCAGCGATGAACCCAGCGGCCTCGGCTTTTTTCTGTTACGAAGTGAAAGGAATTATCAATTCTGGCTTTCATTAAGAGTCATCTTAGGCAAGGTCGTACTGATAAATCAACTGACACCTGTATTATTGAAAAACTTACTGAGCTGTTACTAATTTATGCATGGACAAACTCTCCTTGGTTCCCCATTCATAATTGATCAGATTTCTACTAAATTCATATTTTTCTACACCAACACGGAACTTAAAATTGCACGAATCTAGGTATATGAAGGCTTCAAATGATCTTTTGAGTTTAGGAACTGGAGCACAACACTGTATACCAGTACATGTATCAGGGATATAGCATGTTAAACCATTGGATAGAGTTGGTAGATTGGTGATAAGAGAGCACTCTGGAAAATATGTTTATTCTTAAATTAACGTTGAAACGTTGAAAGATAATTTAATATGTAAACTGCATCATGTACTCATAAAATAGCAGGGTCAAGTTTTTAAACGACTCTAGTGAGGCTGCTTCCTTCTCAAGAGTGGCTGTTTCCAGCTCGAGTGAGGATGTCTCTGGCTCTTAGAAGGCTGTTTTCGACTCTGATGGGGCGGTTTACGTCTTTAGCGGATTACTTTCGACTATAGTGAGACCAATTTTCACTACTTCTTCTCTCTGAGACCGATATGGAGAAGGCTTTTTCCGGGTCTAGTGAGCTGTTTCCGACTATGGTTGAACGAAAATTTGGCAAATAGAAATAAATGCACCAAAAATAAATGAAAAGGGGTTTTTGTATGTGAAATATTAAACCTACCATTCTTCCATCCATCAACAGCTCCATCATAAAGACCAGTAGTAGCATCACATTGTGGATCTTTAAGATACTGGGCTATATTCAATTCATTAAATAATCTAGCTAATACAATAGATGTTAGCTCATTAGCTACTGACATTCCCTGTTCTTCTAACCATGTAGACAGAGAGAAATCTGAAATAGAATAGGAGCAACAATTGTACCACTTCTTTATCCTATAAACACATTGTAAAAATATTTTAAGTTTTAAAGAGGTTTTCTAGAAAAAATCTTTTAACAAAAGAAACAGTGGCTGACCTGTTTGGTAATGGTCACTCTCCCAGTCACAGAGTATTTTAGGTACTCTGGCATTGTTTAATATTGGTACTGTTAAACATCCGGTAATGGAATCAAAACAGAATGTAGCAGAAACACTGATTAAATATTGTCTGGCACCTTCTAAATTATCAATTACAAACCTAAAATTTATTATGTGATGAAAATTATTCAAAAGACATATTCTATAAGCTATAACAGGTCGAGAAAGATTCTGTTTTCAAAAACAAATCTGATTGAACACCAAGAACTAAATTGCTATTCCTTAAAACCCATTAAATTTATATGTAAGCAACTTTTCTATAGATATTTTGACATTTTGCTTGTTGGTATCAAATTCGAGAATCTATAAATGATCTGACCTGTTCATTGTTACTCAAAGATAAAATATAAACTTACTCTATTCCAATAATACCATTTATATTGAATTGTTCCTTTTCACCTAAATGTATGAATATAAAAACAAATTAAGATTAATTCTAACGCAATGAGCACCTGTATATCAAAACGTTACTGTAAAATGGCAATTACATCAATGCAAATGAACAAAGTCATATAATCCACTATTCTTCAAAAGACTATTCTGATCACAAAATGACAATGACGAACGAGCATAAAATGCTCCAGGTGTCACTCACACATTACGTGTTATTTTTGCCCGTTCCCGACCAAATTTATTATCATTGTACATCCGGGAAAGAATTGCATTCGCCCCGCACATAATTCATAGAAATACCACCAATTTTTTTATTGCTATTATTGATGAGGCTGTACCTTCTTATCTGAAAATTGAAGTCGAAATCATCAAAGTTTGTTAGTCCTGCACACAAACCATATGTACTTACCCCATTTATAATTCAGTAAAGTTTTCTTGAAGACGAGATTTTCCAGTGAAACAGTAAGAGTATAATCACAGGTATTGAGATAAACTTTAATGTTAAATGATCGACCAATCACAGGAACTGTTACACAACAGTCAATACCAGTACAAAAATCTGGAATTCGACACGTAGCATAGTGTGGTAGTTGACCAAAATCCAGTGTTTGGATTGGACAGTCTGAAAGTATAACGTTTCACAATGAGTTCCATTGAAGGAAAATTAGGAATCATAATGACTAATGACTTCTGTTTGATAAAATGGAGAAATTCTTTCGGCAAATGAGGACGCCATGTAAAGAGATGAATTAGGAGGACACCGGTGGAAACATCAGTACGTATTATCTAAGTCATGTCGGGATTGTCCCTTCTGAAAAGAAATACGCAATTATCAGATTAAAGTGTGTAATTGTTGATATTTGTAGCCCTAAACCATCATTTCTTACATACATTGGGACGTAATGATCCCTTAACTCACCGTATTTCCACCCTTTACTATTAGCAGGTGAATATATATCATTATCACGGTTACATTGTGGTCTGACTAAATACTGAGATATATTTAGAGCTTGAAATAGTCGTGAAAAAGTCAGTTCAGATAAAACATCTCCTAGATTTTGTTTCTGTTCTTCTATAAACTTCTTTAATGAGAAATCTGAAAGCATAAACAGATAAATTTGGATATGGCAACTATACTTGAACATTCAGATAAAGAAATTGTCTCATGGTACAAAATATTTCCTCAAGGATTTTCATCCCACAAAAGATTCATCGTGGACAGGAGGATATCATATTGGAATCGAATTTGAAACGAACGCAAACTGACTAGTGACTTTACTACCATACCAATAGTAGAACTTTTCATTGATTTTTTTTAAATTAATCACTTAATAGGTAGGTAGAAAGGTATCCTCAGTGGTCAACTAAAATAGCGAAGAATTCCCTCCCTTGAAGAAACACGTATATAAAAGTTATTATTTCAATCAAAAATTCTGATATGCATTTGATAATAATTCGGTAGACTTCAGTTCTAGACTTAACAGTCTGTAATTCATCATGGTTGATAAAGTTCACCGTGAGTTGCCAAATACAATATAATTTAGATTTGGCAAAAATTTTCACAAATAATATTCAATTTGATTGGATTCGCGGATCGTCGTGATAAATTTTATTTTGACTTATTGGATCGCAAAATGGGTTATATTATTGCGTTGAGATACCAATTAAATTGAATCCTGTAGTGAAGTGGTTCACTATAGGATTCAAAGTAGTACGCATACCTCGAAGTTCGGTGGTAGCATCCCAATTACAGAAGAGTTTTGGTACTCTCACGTTATTCAGAATAATAATAGAAGGCTGGCAAGGTTTATCAGAACTTAGACAAATGCTAATATTTAAACTTAGTAGATACTGCTTGTCTCCAGCTAAATCATATATTATATACCTAAAAAATAAAGAGGACAGGTGATATTATCATTTATTAGTTTTAAATGATTGAACGTTTTATAGTTTACTCTTAGCAAGAGTGGATCTAGTACTGCAAATCCAGAAATGAGGACCAACCCTTTTGCCTACTATCAAATTTCCTATCATTGAGACTTCAAATGCATGGTTCTGTTAGATACATTGACATTGCTTTAGATAAAAACGCAAATGTGCAACTCTCCCATCAAGACACAAGTTCAATCTCCTCTCTTTAAGAGGCCGACACTAATTGAAATCTCTGGATTGATCCAAGTTCTATGTTGGCATGGGATTAAAATGACCAAGTAGGTTGACAATAAAAATGGGTTGTATTATGAAAAATTGTTTGTATAAAAGTCAACTTACTCAATCTTTACGACACCCCTCAAGTTGAAACTTTCTAGCTTTCCTGCAAACGTAAATTGAATTCATATCCATCTATGATATGTGATAATATTATAATATCCTAACAAACCTTAATTGCGTTCACCGAAAATCGTCAATTTTACAAAGAGAGACATAATATATTGATTAAGTGTATACAGTGTCATCAAAATGCGAACGTGTCTCTATCGCACTCTGTGGAAGCTTTTTTGACTAAACATTCATCGCCAAAGTATGAAAATCAATAAGTTATTGGTAATTTTTAAGTTATCAATTTACAATAAGATCTATAAAAAACTTGATTCTGTTGACTTATCACGCCTGATTCTACAGTGTCTTACTTCTTACTTACCCCATTTATAATTTACAAGAGATTTCTGTAGTTTGATTTTCTCTATGGACAGAGTGAGAACATTGGTACACATATTAATACTAGCCACAGCCCGGAAAGATCGTTTTAAAAATGGTACTTCTAGACAACAGTCTATTCCAGTACAGTAATCAGGAACACGACAAGACAGATCTTTGGGTAGTATTGGTAAATTCATGTCCAGCTGACAATCTGAAAGAAGATTGAGTTTTACGTCACACTTTTCTGCACCATAATGGACAGAGACGTATAGATCTAGAATATTCCAAACAAATGAGAGGTGTCTCTCCGAGGCGAGATCCTAAGAGCTAAGCCGGAGAGTTATGCAAGCCAACGGATTTCAGATGGCCTGAGATGGATTTTGAGAATTAAGAGGGCTTAATTATCACTGCAAATTAGGACCCATCACAGATCCGAGGGGAGGCCAGGGCTCTTCAATTATGCTATTGATCATAGGCCAATGCAGAAGGCGAAACCTCCACTTATTGTTGCATCGTATCGAGCTTACTTTCTTTCTATTGTACCGTACTGCAGTGGTCTTGAAGCTCGTATTCAGGAAACCTAACAATACGTACATCTGAAGAAAGGTAGCCAGTCCTGAACATTGAATTTAAAAAAACGACACCCAAGCTCTAATAGCATGCCACTAAATTTTCTATTTTACCTTTTTTCCATCCTTGTACTGCTGGTGAATAACTGAGACTCTTTCTGTCACACATAGGTGATAGTAGATAAGCAGAAAGTCCAAGTTTCTCCAGTAATTTCTGTATGATTGTATCAGTTAACTGTCCACCTATTTGCCCACCTTGATCTGCTATCCATTCATCTAGTTTGAAATCTGCAACAAAGTTGGTCTGAATAAATTAAATGTTACCACTTTAGGTGAAATGTATCTCCAGCAATGGGAAGAATATAATAAGCCAACCACATTATTGAGGATCATGTCAGCAGCACAGAGAAAAAACAAGTTACTCCTGCCTGAACTCACCATACCGCCAAAGTAATAAAATCTAAATTTGTTAACGTTCAGATTGAGTAATTCTGTAATGAAATAAAATGAAAGTCCCATCCAGACATTTTTAAGTCGGTCCCTTTGACCTGCATCATTGACAGTGGGAAATCGGGTTGAAGATCCGAAGATACCATAACGTATCACGGCGGAATCGGACCTTAGTAAGCTTCACAAGAATTATTTGAATCATTACATTTACAGACCGCTATAAAAATGTGAATACCTTTCAAAGCAAGAGTAGCATCCCAGTCACATAACAATTTAGGAACTCTCATATCAGTAAAAACTGGTATTTCCAAGTCACATTTCTCTCCAGCAGTAAAACAGGCACTCATCTTTAAATTGACCAGATATTGTTTCTCTCCTGCTAGATCTTCAATTTGAAATCTAAATTATGTTATAAGTAATTATGATTGATGTAGCTGCTAGCTTGACTAACTTAATTCAGACTTTGATCCACAAAAATGAACACATATTTTGGACACATAATGAACAAGATAAAATTTCTATATAATTAACTTACTTGAGTTGAAATATACCACCAATATCCAAAGTTTCTTCAGTTCCTATAAAAATTATTTAATATTAATGGTTATTTCATCTTAAGGATGTTTTTGTAGTTTGAAAGTGCGTTACAGATACATACACCAAAACCAATGACATATTATAAACAATACTTACCACAGACATAATCCACCAATGCCATATTATAAACAATACTTATCACAGACATAATCCACCAATGTCATATTATAAACAATACTTACCACAAACATAATCAACCAATGTCATATTATAAGCAAAAGCATCGCCAACTAAATTCAAAATTATGCACAATACTTACCCCAAACATAATCAACGAATGTTATATTGTAAACAATACTTACCCCAAACATAATCAACCAATATTATAATATAAACAATTCTTACCCCAAACATAATCAACCAATGTTATATTATAAACAATCTTCTCGATTCCCACACTGAATATATAATTACAGGTATCAATAAAGAGATGAGCCTGGAATGTTCTGGATATTTCTCTAACATCAGCACAACAAGTTATACCAGTACAATAATCAGGAATATAACACGCCATACGATCATTTAGAGCTGGTAACGTTATGTTCAATGGACACACTGAAATGAAATTGAAATTCTTATAGGGTGTTCCCATTTGACTACCGACTTTGAAGCCACGGACGAATGATTTTAAATCTAAGACTACTGTCGAGAAATGAACAAGACAAAAGGAATTGTGTTTTCAACAGAAATAAATTCTTCAAATTATTAATATATCCGATGGTGTGTAAGATTGTGCAAAAACGACAGGCATGGTGCCAGGCAGGGTACAGTTACTGATATCACTTTTCCTTATAAATTTCTTCCTCATTAATGATTGATAAAGCTGATGTACATGGGTTTCTTATTTTTTCTGGTATTCAAATTATATACTTACAGTTATTCCAACCATTGTTCATAGAAGCTGTTCTGAATGGTTCATGGACCAATGTACATGGAGTATCTTTGAGATATTTGGTGATACCCAGTGTATCCATCAACTGATTGGCTAAAATATTAGTTAGATCTCCACCGCTTTCTTGAATCCACTTTTTTAAAGAGAAATCTGAAAAACAACCAGGATTTATGAATTATGTCCGGATTCCCAGGGTTTAAGGATGCGCAGTTTGTTTTCCCAATTTCCATTCTAAATGACGTTGATATATAGCAATAGAGACAATCATAAACCAATAGTAATCTAAGTATCATTTAAACATAACTTATGACAGGATATAGTCTGTAAAAGTACCCTTACCCCTTATCTTAAATCCCATCTCCATATTACATACTGGCATTGGTATCTGAGATTGTTTCAGAATAGGTAGATCTACTTCACAGTTATCTGCCCCTTGGAAACACATCTTGATAGACAGGTCAACTATAAATATCTTCTGGTCTAGTAGGCGATCAATTTTAAATCTTCAGAAAAAACAAAAATATTTCTGATAAGAAACCAAAGAGCAATTTGTAACTATCTAATTATGTAAATATGAATGAGCCAATTCGCAGAGAAATCAGCATTTCTTAAACGAGCTTTTCCAATGAAGAATTTGCATCCTAAACGCGCATCATGATTCTAGTCATTTAAAAAAAAGTAGTAAACTTACTTCAAATAGAGAAATTCGCTCAGTTGCTCTACTTCTTCAGTTCCTGCAACATGATTAAAATCATGTTATTGTGGTCGAGTGTGGGGTTAATAATATTTCAAACATCGAATTGATTGACTTGTTTGTCAAGTTGATCGGGGCATCTTACCAATAATAGGTAAATCGAGAATCTTTTCAGTTGCTCAGTCTTCAGAACACAAAAGAATGCAGAAATAACCAGAAAGATGGTGTTTTCACAATCTTCGTAAAAATAGCGTCCTATTGGTGACAACATCAATTTATTTTTACAGTTTTTTCACAGTGTTAAATATTTGTGTTTTTCGTAGAATGGAATGTATTTTCAAAGTTTTAATTACATTGAATTTCTTTAGATAATCGTCTTTTGAGAACATGGAGATAGTAATGGATATTGAAAATGCAAGAATAAAAATCTTACCCCAGTCATAGTCCAAAATTGAAATCTTGAATCCTATTTTCTCAATAGCTCCTTCAATAACATAGTTACAAGTATCAATATTGAGATGAGCGTTTAATGAAATTCCCAGTAAGTCACTTTCTAGACAGCAGTCAATACCAGTACAATAGTCAGCTATATAACAATTCACTGGTGCCTTCAGTACTGGTAAGGTCTTGATTCTTGGACAATCTAGAATTAAACGTGGAATGTATTAGTGTGTTGGCAATCATTAGTTCTTAAATGTGTGAGGTCTTTGTTATCTATTAAGAAACATGTTCAATACTATGTATCATATCCAGTATTGACCGATCAGAAATATTTATGGCTGGCAACTTAGTCTTAGGTTATAAAATTTCTGAACCACAACCAATCAAAGAGGATAGCAAAATTACATCAACACATGACAATTTATTATTGAAAATCATTATTCATCAGACAGAATATTGCATTTAAAGCTACAAGTTTTCAAATATGGCGCGTCCACGGGGGGAAGCTTGCCGGCCGATGAGCCCTTTCACAATTCTTACGCCCACATTTTAACTAGCATTAATTACCATTTTTCCATTTGGAAGGAAGAGCCGGTTGATATTTTAAACTGTCACGTTTACAAGGTGGATCTAACATCATCTCAGCTATACCAGTCTGTTCTAAAAATACTTGAACTACTTTCTTTGTTAAACCATTTGTAAAATCTATACCCTTTTCTTTAGCCCAATCACTAACTGAGAATCCTATTAAAATACAAATCATCATAAATAACAGTTTGTAGTTACTGAATTTACTTCGTACAAAATTCGGGATATTTAGTTCAATGCAAGAAAATTATATCTAGTTAAACCCGAATAACAAAGTATTCAAGATGGAGATATAATCGACTTGGTGAAAAAGGGTCTTTAATGAGTATAGCGTTGTTAATGGTGTAGTTTTGTCCCAATAAATTACCTTTCAGATCTAGCTTGGCGTTTAAGTCACAAATAAACTGTGGGATTTCTGAACCAGTGAACACATCAAATTCAGCTTGGCATTTGTCTTTTTGAAAACAGGCTGCTATTGATAAATCAAACACCAACGTCTTGTCCTTTTTACTAACACCAAACCTGAAGTGTAGAAGATGGAGATAAAATGTACGTTAAATAGATTTGGTAAGAGATGTGGTCTCTGAATTTTTGCACATCGTTAACGGGTAATGATGATTTAAAGCAACAGTTTGGTAAGTACTCAAATCCCAAACCAAACAAGTACACTGCTGTTCGTTTTAAAATTTGTTTACTAGCTTCACCAGACTTTTGATTTTCGATTGAAGGTTAAGACTTACATCGTACTTTCTTGTACAATGTATATGGTTGCACTAAATTATAGTTTCCTGAACATACCTTACAACAAGAAAGTCTGAGATCTGCACGCTGCTTGTTATACCTATAAATAGAATAATTTCTAATAATATCTAAAAAATGATTCTTAACATTAGAAACTGCTCCAAACATACAAGATCTACTTCATTCTCATGGATCCAAAAGTTAATACATAGGAAAAAAGGTCAAAGCTGTTAAATGATTTGCAGGAACCATCGATGTAGAACATCCAATATATATAACATTGGTAGTAAAACCTATTTTGTATTTATTATATAAGAAAAATATACCTTTATCTAAATCATACTGATCACCCAACAACGACAATTTAACGTTTTCTTTTTCAATGGACGCTTCCAAAACATAGTCACACATATTTAGAGTAAGTGAAGCATGGAAGCTGGTGTCCAAGAATTCAATATGGAAACAACAATTTATCTTTGTACACGTATCATCAAGGTGGCAAACCAGTCCTTTTGGAAGTTTAGGAAGTAGTTTGAGTGATTTTGGACAGTCTGAAAAAAAATAATCATTAAATTCATAGAATGACTGCTTTGAATTTTTTATCTTCAAGGACTCAAAATCAAATCATGTACATTCTAGTGGCAGATTTCAGATGTTTTTCTTGCAGATTTATGGAGTGAAAATCAACATTCCAGTGACAAAAAATTGTCGGTTAAAAGACCATTTTAATTCTTACCATTTTTCCATCCATCAATATTTGAGGAATATGGCGAGCGGGTGATATCACATCTTTCATCCAGTAAATATGGTGTTATACCCAACTTATTCAAAATATATTTAGCTCCAGATTTCTTTAATTTCTCTCCAGCTTCAAGCTTCAAACCTTTCAAATACTCCTCTAGGTTGAAATCTGCAAAAGATCATGAAGCATTTGATTGACTGCCAAAGACTTCCTAAAAAGTGACAGAGAGCTACACTGTGTCTATAAGCTTCACAAGGTCGTTAAGCACACAAAAGTTAAGGTATCATCTTTCGGCATTGTAATTGATGTTGGAGATGTAATCATTGGAGTACTTGAAGTTAATATATTTGTTTTTGGTAGGCTCTCATTAACATTAGTTAGGTGGCGCACCTTGTTTTCGTAAAACGATCCGTTTGCCAAACACATTATAAGTTAAAGCAAAACAATAATATGAAAAAAATATTAAAGAACCGTTATTTTCAACAAACATACCACTATTAGCAAGATTACCAAGTGCCCTGGCATCGCAAAGTGGTATGTGAACATCTTTTAACAGATTTAAACCATCTTCAGGAAAACAGAAAGAAGAACCATCATCTGGTATACAGACCATTACACTTAGATCTATATTAAAGCCTTGGCCAATCCTGGCGATGGTCAGTCTGAAAACATTAATTTCAATATTTCGCAAATATGGCAAATTTTTGTTCATTAAAAGCTTTTTGTTATAGTATTGCCCTTACAAGATCACAAGCTATCAGTATTCCATTTTGTTATTTATGCAGTCATCATAATCGTTTCACATGTACGGCCAAACTAAGTACTTAAATTTGTAATAATGAAGTGTCTTTTTGAAGCTATTATGCTTTATTTCTATGACAACTGAATTCTCAAGACTTACGTTAGTGTTACTGGCGGAGGATTTCCATTTCCTAAAGATATTGTTGTTTGTGTATCTAAAATAAAATACAAAATATTTATCTACTACGACAGCAAGATCACATTAAATCAACTTAAAGTCACATTCATCTCCTCTTGCGTCAATAGCTGGTTTATCATTCAACTGAGATCATTGACATCGAGAAAGATAATATACTTACTCCATTGGTAGGACAGTAACTTCTCAGAATGGACAGCTTGTCCAAAACCAACCTCAAGTTGGAATTCACATGGATCAAAGGATACAAAAACCTCTACACTTTTATGTACGACTTTGTTAAAAAATGGTATTTTCATTTCGAAATCTACGCAACAATTTACACCAAAACAATCATCCATCATTCCACAAGTTACTTTATCTTGAAGAGATTTTGGCAGGTATTTTTCGACATCAATTTTCCAAGGACAATCTGTAATAATTCAAGACATACGACTCTGAAAGGTTTTGAAAAGATGTGACTTTACTCGGAGTACTTAACAGTCAATGATCATAGTTCAATTGGAATTTGATTCCCAGAATATACACACGATTTCTCGTTTAAGAATTTTACATTGCCATTCTAAATACCTATATTATAAGCAAAACAAACAGATTTCAGAATAAGAGATCCTACCTGTTGAAGATACTGGAACACTACATTCCTCGTTGGTAAAGATTTTCTGAAGGAGAGAAAAACTTTTCAAATCTCTATTACATACAAAAATAAACTTAATTTGCAACAGCTCTCTCCTTAATGTTAAACTATATAGAAATATAGCTGTTTACATCCTGATAATCATTAAAGCTCAATTCCATCATGAAATTTAGCTCTATATCAACCAGCAAATAAAATTTATCTCTTTCAATATCAAATAAAGGAGAAAGCATGGATTTCAAATTCAAGACTTACATCAAGTCCAAATTTTTTGAACAAAATGTCCACAGCAGCATCAGATAGTTTACCATTCAGAGCTAATGAAAGATCTTTCATCGAACCACCACCTATAAAGGCAAAGTGAACCATAATACCTCCAAATCTGATATAGCAATATTCGGATGTCCTTATTGGAATATGAACTTTAAATGTGAAGCACCATTCTTTCACAGTTAGACAAAAAAACTCAAAAACAAACTCAAAAGCAAAGCAGAAGAAAGGCAAGAAATTGAAAATTGCATCCGTTTAGACAGTTTAAAGATCCTTATTCAGACAATGTTAAAAATCAGTTTCTCGCACACCGTTGCGATTGGCGTGTCCCTACACTTTATGGGATTACATGTGCCTCTTCCATGCTTGTGTTCTCTTGGCACCTTCACTCAAGCTCAACAAGAGATCATCCAGAAATTATAGAACAGCTGTAACACGAGATTAGTTTTGTATTCTCATGAGCAATAGTTGCCCCTCTTAGTTCTCATTTAGTTATTTACAAACCTGGTAAAGTAAAGTTCTCATTACAGACAGGTATAGGTATTTCCATTCCATTTATTATTTTACCATTAATTACATCTGTACCTAATGCTTTAATTATTCCACTAACATCTATTATAAATATCTTCTTATTCTCATCACGATTTATCTTATAACTAGACGAATAATACGGATAGATTATGTTATTATAATGTGACTCAAGAACCAAATTCTAACAACAATTGGCGACAAGATAGAAACATTTGAAATGACCTTTAAATTAATTCTGTTAAAATATTCCAAGACGTGCAGGTCAAATGGTATATGTGATAAAGACGTCATTATTTGACATGTTTACAAGAATTTAACACGGATTTTCTAGGTTTGTTTTCGTCCGAGATATACACAAAAACATTAAAAAAATTCACCTAAAAACAATATTGTCTCCTATTTTAAACTGTTCTTCGGTGCCTGAAATAAAGACAGTTACTCATATAAAGCTGACTTTTGGAATCACATGCGATTATCCAGCTCCACGTGGGATTATTTCGGCAGTTTCCCTGTGAATCTACATCAGTGATGAATCCTTGTATCTTTTGGGGCGTGTCTCATCTGAACAAAGTCCGGTAATCATGATCACCATTTAACACTGTGATATGTTGCAGATCGCTATACATACTACTTCTAAGGTTAAAGTATAAATAAGACTAGACAGTGGGATAATACGCCACTGAATCAAAACATGAAAGTTAAACAAAATATTAACTGGAGATTTCTAATATACAATTCAGAAAATATCTAAAAGTCTTTTTGGACATGCGAAAAGTTATTGTAACAATCTCTACCGTGTATCCGTATTAATGTAATTAATTGACCAAAACTACTTACCCCATTTGTATCCTATGAGAATTTCAGTATATTTATACATTTCAAAACCAATGTGGAATTGGAAATTGCAGGCATCCAGTTCAACATATGCAATAAAAGATCTAACAAAGTTTATGGAAGGAGTTTTTGTACTGATGTTAATGTCAACGTCGATACAAGCTTGTAATCGAAGACAATTGTTACTAATCTGGAGATAAAGTAATTTCTTGAGTTTGTCATTCTTTATTGTTGGTAAAGTAATTTTCTGTCCCAATATTTCACAACCTGTAAAAACACAAAAATTAAATACATCATCTAGTCCATAGTGGAAATGTGACCGTTTTCGTCAGTAATGAACAATGGTACACCACGTAATGTAATCTAGATCATATCTGGACTCAGGATGACCTCAGACCAATACGATGCTGTCCCTTGCCATCAACTTCTGGTATTTCAGCAAGAGTCTTTCATTGCTTGGATCAGCCTACATCACCTATCACACTAAAGACGCCAGAGAAAATTAAGCAGTACTTGACACGATCTTATATCTGAGATCCTATTCCTTAGATAGCATGCTATCCTATTTGAGGTCCTTTGCCCTCACAGAAATTGTCGGCCATGCAACTTTTATTACAATTTTGTTTCTCCCTCTTTCCCGATATTTTTGTCTCCATTTAAATCTAACAACACATGAAGTATTACTTACTCCTATCAGCCTCAGTAAGTCTCTCTATTAGTTGATCTATTGTCCCGGTAATACTCAATCCTCTTTCAGCTAACTTAGTTTTCAACATTTCAACTGTCAGTTTTTCTGGACGTTGACAAGGAGAACCTTCTTCTAATAAGTCCTAAATACGACAAGGTATGAATTCATTCCTAACATTTCTCAATTTAATTTCTAATTGCAATTGAAGTCCAGATACTCATTTTATTTGCTACAGAGCGTCTAAACTGTAAAAATATTGGAATCTCTTACAAGCACTCCACTGCATCTTAAATGATCCAGAAATCTTGGTAGCGAATCATTCTGTGTATCTTTCGTTGGTTACTGTTAGTTTTGTGAACTCGTTTGGAATTAGACTCACCTCTGGGAATCCAAGCTGTTTCAGACCTTCTTTCAGAGCTAAATCTAGCGCTGCTTCCGCATATTTCTTAGCCGACTCTTTAAAGCGACTCTTTAAGTTATCACGATTAAAATATCCTTCCCAATCAACTACAAATAAATATTTTTACTTTAAGCTTACAGGTTTGATCAGTATGTTGTACCCATGTTCAAAAGTGAATCAATGACTTTTATTGTGAGACAGAAGGCAGAACTGAAGTGAAGATGATTGAAAAAAGGGGAGAGGTCGACGTGGGACGTTTTATTTGTGGTTTAGTTATATCTTAATGTATAAATGTATCTACCTTCAGGAAATATTAAAGAACCATCAGGTGCACATACTGGTACTGGTAATATTGCCTCATTTAACAAATATATGAAAGGGAGACAATTTTCTTCATCGTCTTCCATACACATTCCTAATCCAAGTGTCCCGAGAAGTGCAGAATCTGTTTTCTCTATACGAACTCTGAATGAATATCAAAACACGAATTTAGATAATGAAAACCGACCACAAATTCTCCGTACTTTTGCTGTGCTTTACAATGACGACAAAACTGCCATGAATTTTCCTCATGCTGCCGACACCGAATGCAGTTATTGTTGAGGAGATCATATCAAAGCAATGAGACCACTGCCATTTTAACTGACCTGATTGTTACTTCCAATCCCCCTAGAAGGCTCATCTTAATTCCGGTTTTTACATCTTCCTCCCAGCCTGAAACGTTCGAAAAATTTACAGCATCATTGTGACTACAGACCAATGGGATAAAGTCATTATTTGAATATCTCGTTTTTAGATTTCCGTAGCTCGTTTTAAAATGTTAAAATCGTGAAAATATGAAATTCTGTTGTGTTGGACTAACAATATTAGACTCAAAATGCTTAGTCAAGGCCTGTTTATTTAGCCAGAGATGCCTGGTGGTAGAGCATTCGGTTTACACATCATTTTTTCTCTAACATTTCACTTGAAACACTTACTATCATAGATTCCATCGAAAGGTCCAATAACTCTTTCTATCTTCCCTTTAATACCAAATACAAACTGATTGTCGCACGGCTCATATCTGGCGTACATCTTATACGTCTTCCGGAACATGAATACTTTTAAGTGTACACAACATTCGATTCCCAGACAATGTGGATCTGGTGTGCAGAACATTTTATCGTTCAACAGATTAAAAGTTAATCCGGGGCATTCTGAAATGTAACATATTAAAGTCATGGAGTCCTAAGTATACCAAGATCAGAACTTGATTTTTCTATAGCTTTGTCTTTTCTTACACAAATATTAACATATTATTACAAAAACACATCTTCATATGTCATCTAAAATCTTGACATCTTTAGTTGCCTTTCATGCATCACAGAACGTTTGAGATTTGATTGAATTGTTTGCAAGCGAATATCAACAAACAGAGCACTCAAGAGAAAGACTGATATATTATGGCTGCCGTTAACTACTAGTTCCCGTCTGCATTGTGAATGAAAATGATTTTATATGGTATTTATTATTTTGTTATTTTTAGAAGATTGGGTTTATCGGCATTATTTAGCTGTGAACTCATGTCTGTAACCAAAACGTATTAATGTAATGGACACCAGAGAATTATGATAACCTCTAATTTACCGGTGGCTCAACTACAACAGAGACTGGTTGAACCAAGTCCACGGGCCACATCCCTTAGGGTTCCCACACCCACAGAAAAAAAATGCTTAAGAGCATATGCTAAAAAAGGTTTCTGAGGGAAGGGCGCCCACCCTTAAATCCACGGGCTCCACTCATCTTGTTGAAATTCAGTTCTATCAACAAAACAAACAAATCTTTTGACAATTAAATTTTTTTCTTGCATTGAATTTGTTGACGTACCTGTACTTGGTGTTGTCAATGTGTCTATCATTGCCTTCCTTGAACCTCCGGAGTCTAAGCCACGTTCTGTGAGCTCAATACGTAGTTGATCATCGTTCATTTGGTACGGATTAAAACAAGGCTTATCATCGATCATATCCTATAATCAATTTTAAACTTTGCTTTTCAGTACAAGCGAAAGGCTTTGACATCAAACAGGTGAAATACTAATGTATATGGACATTTGATACAATTTAGACATTAGATTATTATTATATTTGTATCTTTTTTATTTTCAATACTGTCAACTGGGGAGCTATTCTGTCCATGGCTATAATGAAGGAACACAGGCAGACATTACCTTAATCTTAAGAATCAGTTTCGCCATTGACTCTTTACTCTTCTCCAGTTTTAGTACCTCCAACAAATCCAAAATGGATCCTACTTTCAATTTACGGATTGAAAATTTCTTTATGAATTCTAAAGGTCTCTTAAACAAGCTCTTTAATCCTGAAATGAAAATCAATTTTCAAATTGAATGTAATATTTCACAATATTTTATCAATTAAGTTCAGGTTCTAAAACATTGTTCGTTTAAAAACTAAAAATCCACAATTGTTTTCCATCTTTATTTTTGTTGTATATCCGAGTCTGGCGTTATCCAATTAAAAATCAAATATCAAAGCATATTTAGGCTAACCGAATCATATAGGCCCGATCAAATCAGTCCTTAAGGGTTCGAGGAATTAAAGACATCATCCAAATTTATCACGACAAGAGCAGTTTCAAATCAATTAACGAATTTCTAGACTATCAAAATGGTAAAATATCAATACCCGAATCTTTTGTTTTCTCCATTTTCTTTGCAACAGCTGGTTTATTTGACTTAGCTTTTCCAAAAAAACTGTCTCCATCAACTAAAAAAAGGAATGAAGAGATAGCTGTCTATGTTACTTCCTTTAAAAAAAACTTTGAAAAGTTGACATTAAAGTGTATTGTGATTCAGTTCTGAAAAATCTCAAAGAAACGAACGAACAAAAAATCTTGCTTGAAGATCCAGTTGTAAGAGAAGTACGACAGCAACTTGGTTACACAAGGACCATAATCGCAAAGACGAGTTTGTACAGGGTCCATATACACTGAAAATGGTTATAGATAAACCTTATATCTTGATTTTACCCAACCTAAATAAGGATACTCACAAAGACCCTTATCTACAACTTCAGCAGGTTCAAGTTGACTACTAGTTTCAAGTGTAGGCTCATCAATTTCTCCAGTTCTTTCAGGGCTTGAATCTACCTCCTTTCTACCACCAATACCAACTAAAGGAGCGTCCGCTATAAGGTCATCCTGGATTATAAATGTGGAATGGGTAATGAATTTCCTTGGTCATAAAATAAAACTTTAGCATTGAACATACATCTTAAACGGGAATATTTTCGAGACTTTTCGATTCTTCCCTGCATGTAAAATACATTGATGGATATTACATATTTCTTATGCTTCATTTCAGTCTCTGTACAGCAGAGGTTTTCAACCTTTTTCAATCTATTATCTCTTTTAGGGTCCTTGATCGATTGCGTTACCCTCTTCCCTCTACATATCCTTACTCTGTCGTGATTTTCACATAATTTTTTTTCCTGCAATCGTATCATGTTGGGAGAATATAGCCTGGCTGAACAGAACAACTTATTCTATATTTGTCCAAAAATCTTATGCTTGACTGCAAAGCAGTCCACAAATGTAGTCAAAATACCCCTTCGGAGGTAAATACCCTCAGGTTGAAAACGGCTGCTGTACCGAAAGCAAACAGAAAGCAAGAAGAAACAAAAGTTATTTTTATTTGGAATTAAATTTGTTTTTTTTAAATATAATAAATCTTACGTTCCAAACTAGTCTATAATCATCACATCCTTGTTCCCATTTTGGTAGTTTAGGAAACCTTGGTTCAAGATATCGAGAAGGGTCAATAACACCTGGTTGTATACCACCAACTTTCCTCATAGCGAAATGAATATGGTGGTTAACATCGCACACTGATGATGCTACCGTACCAATAACTTGACCAGCATTCACCTGCATAGAAATAATTGACATAATGGGCAAACATACTAAGAGAAATTGAGAGATGGGTAATGTTAAATAGATAATAAATTTTGGTAAGCGACATGATGTTATTACTGTTATGAGTGAGAAATTCTTGGTGTTCGTTTCAATTGAAAATTACCATAAAGTTGTCGAACGCCTCTGGCTACAAATATAACTCTGTTTTATGTATGTGCCTTATTCAATCTTATAGATTAAATCAAAGTAAAGTGAACCACGAGAATTCCTTTCCCTGCGAACTGGCGTGAAATTAACATTGACCTAATCATGGACGCAATAGACTCAGATTCAATTCAAACCAACGAGAATGATTCGGATGAGAGACGCCTTTTTTCTCGAAAGAACTAAACTAGTCAAATCATAACGTATCCAAACGTACCGGTTGAAGAACATCATTACTATAAGATGGTATAAAGGAACTAGGTTCTATGTTGGTAATAATAATTTCTGTATCTTTCAATGATCCCCCTGTTGCCATTAACAAAACTTCTCTACTATTTTTAGCTGAGCGGCGAATAGTACCGCTAAATGGTGCAACTAACTAAAATAATTATTCAAAATATGAAACATATAATTGTATATGCGAATATCAAAGTCAATCCTATCCAATGTACACAAAAACGCAATATAAAGTTAAATGAAATTGAAAATGAAATGAACCTACTGTTCTGCACTTCTGTTAAATGAAAAAAGTGAAAGTCATTATAAAAAAATGAAAAAAAGTTAGCTGATGGAATTTGATTTGTATAGTGATTTACCCATATACCCAAACCCCTGCATCAATCAACATCATTGCCGTCATCTAAGACAGTGCTTCTTAACAGTTGAAAAAATCCTCCCTAAGGAGGAATTGGAAGACCATGCAGAGGAATTACTAACAGGGGGTGGGGGGTAATTTATTTGGGGAGGAGAGATTTCACTGCGGTTGAGAAGCACTGATCTAAGATACAAAAATATATTGCATTAAATATGGACACAAATACCCTCAAATACAATGAATTTTACCTCTTTTCCGTTTCCAATTTCCAAATCCACTCCATCAACATCGTACTCTTGTCCTGCTTTAGTTGATGAAGGATAATCACCAGATCCACATCCACTGCCCTTACTACGATATTTTCTAGGGAAGTCTTTATGACACTTTGGTCCAAAAATTCTGTCTATTAATGATCGTGCTATGCGATATCTATGATAAAACACCAAATTAAATTAGAAGGGTTTAAAAAACGTGTTTTTAAGCTTTGATGTAGAGGGTCTTTACCTCTTCCCATGCCACCAAGTAATGCCAAAACATGCACAATACAGAGACAATAAAATGCACTAGAAGAGTGCATAAAAATTATGTTATGTACAATAAATGAAAATCTACAGAACATTTCAAAACAGCTAAATTCTCACCCTGTTTTTACAGCATCGTAGGCTTTTCTTATTTTATTTATTGTACTGCTAACAAGATCAAATGTTTTTGAGAGATCTCCGCCAACATTTTTAACTGAACTAAAAGGTGATAACAAATCGTTGACCAGATCTTTCAATTCACCAACTACTTGTTTCTTGAGTTCACTCTACAAATAAAACGGATATAAGAGGCCTGAACATTTTGACATAGGTTTGATCGATCAGATTGACGAAAAAATACAATGGGCCTTATATTATCATTTCAGACAGTTATTATTTTACTTTTGTTTATTCATACTCATATTATCGGGAGATACCTGAATTCGGATTTCGCCCCATCAGCAAAATTGGTTAACAATGACCTGATATACATTATCTTTTCTTTTTAGAAAACTTCTTTACAATCCTTCTGTTCTTACTACCAAATATACAGCATTATTCAACCACTTTTATATTTAACTCACCATCGAAAATTTTCCATTGGTAAATTCTTCAACTGGATCTTTACCCTTTCCAAACCCCTGTTGTATCCATGATTTAGACCCACTACTTAAAGTGTTCATGACTTCCTTAACAGCATCTTTAAGGATTGAAAACTTTTCGCCTAAATTCAACCATTCAGGTGGTTTTCCTGTTATTAAAATTATTTAAATTCTATCATCATGAATCAGCAATGGGGAGCAAGCAGAAATTTCAAAATGAAAACCAAATTAACCCCGACACTTATGCCCCCATTGAGTCCAGTTGCACCCCCAGTGCTAGCTCCACCATCGGATGCAAAAGGTAGAGGATAACCGCAATACTATGCAGAAATAACTTTCACCGATCATTAAGTAAGTAAGCAACAATAATATTTTCTTTGGCAGGTGAAAGTAACCATACCTTTCTTAAATGACATAAGTTGTACAGTTTTGTTGACGGAAAATACTAAATTATTTATTTCCATTCGAATTCTGAAATTGATTAAAATGGCATTATTCCCATAACACGGTTACCAACTTACAAGGCAGGCCTTAACCTAATTTTATCAATTCAGGACATTTGGATATGTATTTCTTTGTCGTGGTTTCCGAAATTGTAGAACCAAACCTCAACTGAAGCCAAGTATATAATACTTTTCTTCTTGTAAATTAAGGCATTTTGTATTTCAGTGCCATGTGAACATCGGGAATCGATGGCATATTTATGCAATTGCTAATAAAGGGCATTTCCTTTCAATTGTGTATGGCGAATGTGTATTGGCTGCTATAGTCGTTACATTTGTTTCTTTCGTATTTATTGGTAGTTATCAGTTGACACCCGACGATGTGTAACAGAAAGAAAATCTGAAAGAATCTTGTTTATAGCTATACTTACTTAATAACATTGCTACCAATTGTTGTGATGGCTTTTTTAGGGTCACCAAAGAAATCTTTAAACGCCCCAAAAATGGCTTCAATTGCTTCGTAGATCAGTTTCCATGCTCTCGGCAATAAAACAGTCACAGTTTCTAGCAAATTCTGTAAGCAAGTATATTGTTATTCTGTTTGCATAGTTTCTATTAATTTTACTCCAAAATAACAAGGAATGTTCAGGTTTTGTATCGGACTCGGAATAAAAACAAATATGTGTTTGACTATACCACCATTGCTATAACATTCAAACAAAACAGAACCGGAAATAACGATCTGTATTTCAATACCACACAATGCATCACAGAGTATTCAGTCCTGTTATTATGATACCGCCGGATATTACTAGTATTAGACGTGCAAAATTGAATTTAATAAATGCAAGAGTCCTTTTCGCACTTATGTTCACAAAAAATCCATATATACCATAAAGCAGTTTAACTTACATTTACAAACCCCATGACATCTTTCTTTATATCATTATAAGTTCCTACCACAGTGTTGACCAATTTACTAATAGATCTTATGAAAGGAGGTAAATCCTTCTCGTCTATTTCTCCCAATTTCTTCATAAGTTCAACAGCCTTTCTTCCCAGATTCATCACCTGTAGAATATGAGCTTGATACAGTAAACGTGTCCGAGATATTCGGCTAGAGAGGACCTTAATAGGAAGGTAAGAGTCTTTATTGCAAACGTATTATTGATGTAGGCTATAGGAAGGAGTAAAGAATAGTCAATGAAAATTTTGTTATAGAAATAGGGTACTGATCAAAGAAAACCATTTTGGAGCCTCTGCATATCTCCAACTAAGGTAAATGACTATGCTATGAAGTCATTTGCTGATCTCATAGCTCTTGGGTCCAAAAATGTTCTGGATGCAGTCCAATAATTATAGGCTATTATTGTTTGATATATCATTAAAATAGTTGATTTATTAATTTCTTAAAAACAATAATAGCCTAATATAAAGTTACATTATCTCAGATATAAATGTTTCAAATCACAGTTAACTGTTCCTACCTTCTGAGGTAATTGTTCTAAAGCCTTTATGAAATCTTGTATTATCCCTTGTACCGATATATCTCCACGAATGATTTTATGAAATAAATCAAGACCAGTTGTAAGTGCTCCAACCACGTTATTCTTTAAATTATCCCATAAATTCACCAAATCATCCAAACTGTTAACACCAAATTCCTATTTCAACCATGAAAAACAAAATTATAAAACGGTTCTAAATATATTTACAATTCATGTTGATGATGGAAGCTGTCAAGTCAAATAAAGCCAAGCTTGTTCTTGTCTCCTTATTCTGAAAAGCGTCTCTGGAATAAAATGTGGACATCTTTACTTCACGAGTTATAATCAGAAGTTGTTGGGTTCGACTCTGATAAAGCACAATGCGGTCTTACATATCTCGTCACATACAGCCCACTTCAGAATTACGGCGATCTAACCGAATATACATGTATACAGATCATATCACTGCGTGCTTTGATATAGCATCATAACAGGAGCCTTAATATGTAATCTTTCTACCACCATATTTCTCCGATAGAACACCACAATCCCCATGATATTACCTGTAGAATATTGAGATTATAACTAGCACCACCTTTAAAACAAACTCTGGCCACAAAGAATTCTATATTAGTACCAACTATACCAAGATGAACTCGAGCAAATGCTTCATCATGGACATCCACTAAAACATGACCACTAAATGGAGCTGGAAATGAAATCAAACAATGGAAGATATTGTATGGGGTAGCTATCATGACTTTTCAATCTTGAACAAAATGGTCTATGATGTCACGTAGAACAAGCTTCTTGTATGGCAAAACCAAAAACGGATGCCATTTTGCTCTATTTGGTCATAATTCGTCAAATTGTCATCCAGAAAAAAAAGAGTTCTATACGACACGCATTGGATGTAAATTCGTTAGTTTAGAACGGAACTGTGGCAGAAAACTTGTTAGATTAATATAAAGAAGAAAATGATCAAAAAAATAATCTTAATGATATAAGATGTCAGTAAATACCTATCTTTAAATCCAGTAAATTCTTTATCAGGATTCCAAAAGAGGCCCCAAGTTTCTTATTTCCAAGCAATTTAGTATAATCCAAACTGGGTGAAGCGAGAAGAAATTCAAAACCATTATCTAAAAAGCCACGCTTGTTTCGTGGGTGAAGATAAGCATCATTTGCATCTAAATCCCAAGGGTTGAAATATATCGATGAACCATTATAGGAACTGGAAGAACAAGGAGATAATAACACAAGAATAAAAAAAAAAATAAACATCTGGACTAAGGGAGCTTATAAGTTTTAGGACGAGTATGATGATAGCAGCTAAGCCAAGTGTCTTAATCGTTCTGGGATGTGTGTGGTAATATCCAATCTTGGATTAACTTGATAGTGATCTAAGGGGAGATAAGCAAGGAATTTGAACAAGTTTTGTTTGATGATAACCCAGAGATGTATCTCAAGTGTAAGAAGAAAGATTTGTTAATTAATATAGGTGGTGCAGCTCGGTCTAGGGAAGGTCTGATGGCGTATTGAAGATACATCCGCCAGTTCTTTTACATTTTCTGGTTGAACGTGTAGCTCTAGCACTAGTTCAAAATGAAGTCGGGTATCTTACCTATTTTGGGCCACAGGTGGTGTATATGGAGTAAGGAATTTAGCTTTAGGATGAGACTGGTATTGTATCATTGCCTCGTATCGAACTGTATCATGTTCGTCATATCTAGCGGTCTTCAACATCAACTTAGCTGCCTGTAAATATAGTTAAAAATATCATTCACATAAATTCTTCCAGACACAAACTGAGATCAGGTGTTATAAAAATGAGCATTTGAACTAGTGCGATTTTTTATGCTTCTGAGTTCACCTGGTGACATAAACTGCATGGTATGGAACCATATATACACATAATATGTACCATTAACCTATAACTTACATGCTCATGATGATAACCTCTTAGAGCTGTAATACCAGCACGTTTTACCCATTGACAGTTGGTAGTGTTGATATGAGATACGATATATTCATAAGATTGGTGTAATCTAGCATTACCAAGAGCTCCCAGTAAATTTACTTTCAATGTATCCTCTTCTTCAACTTCCTTTTCAGTCATTACTGATCTTTTCTTACGAAATAAGTACGGATCTAAAATATACATTACATATGAGTGGCGTAACAAGCATTCCTTATTATACCCATACAAAATCCTTCATTTCACAATTTCCCACAGTTTGTGTTACCTAACGTTCGTCAAAGGAGTGGAATGCTGCCAAGCTCTTATTGCCTTTGTAGTTACCGAAAGCATCTTGTTCATTCCATTTATATAATATAAATCAATCCAACAATATATTTTATGACTATATAATGGTCTCCAATGATTTCTTTGTACGAATAGGCTTTTCGAACTACCCAACCTACCATGATATCCAATCATTTTCTCTATTTTAGAAATGGCATCAGTTGCTTCCTGTGATCGACCAGATTTATGAAGCTTCCGAGAAACCGAACCAATCGTCAGTAGAATTCTATGGTAGACTTCACCTTTATGGAGAACAGGTTCCGATTTGTGTTTTTCAAATCCCATTTCAAATAATCTGGTCAAAAGTCTCTGTAATATTATAAAATATAAGTTCATAAATTATAATAAATCACCTGGTGGTAATTTTTCTCTCAGATTCAGATGAAAAGTAAAATATGGACAGTAAAAGTAAAATTTCAGACCCGAATCCTCAATCTAGGATGAGATGATTGATCACTGTATGGACTCAATTCTTGATACAGAATTTTGTAAACTAGAGATTATCCAATGCAAAAATAAGTTATCGGACTAATTGGTATATAGATGCAAATGATTGGAGTTTGGTAAGAATAAATGAGTATCTGTAAATTACCATATTTGGAAGATATACCATACCTTATTGGGAGCAGTATCCATGGCAATGATCGACACCATCAAGCGCATTATCATCTTAACGTTTGGTTTGTCAGTCTGTAAAATTTTCTCCGTAACGATATCTTGAGCACGATCTGATTTGGTTGCCATCATTGCATCAACAATATGAGATTGGTCTTTCTCATTCCGAATTGACCTTCAAGAACAAAATATCAAATTCATTAATTTTTAGCCTTCACTTAGTTACATGGCTGCTGATGTTTCTATGGAAGTGACAATTAAAGTTTAGTGTTACAGATTAATTTTGTGTATAAACAAACTACACGTAGCTTTCTCCATGGTAGTCTAGAGTAAACGAACTTGTCCAAAAGCAATGCTTTCAACGCTTCCGAACATACGGTCCTACAGTCAACAACGTGGCATGATGTTGTTATTATCTCATCCTCTCTGTGCATCAATGTAATAAAGTGACCGAAATCAACTCCCGAAAATAGTACACCTAGTGTCCTTTTAAAACATATTTTGAAGTCCTACATTCAAGTCAGTTTTGTGTAATCCCTAGACTACTGTTTCCTATATTCTACTGATTTTATCATGGTGTTTGCATGTCTGTGTGAGTAAAGTATACTTGAAGGAAACCACAAAATCTACTTCTAAAACAATATTAATCAATTTCTGTATGGCTATTTATATAGGAGAATCTGTTCTTGATGCAATATCATTAGCTTATATGGATTTGGATTAAAGGCTTTGAATTTTATTGTCAGTTTACCGGTGACATGAAAGTCGGGAAGTGACTTGGAATAAGAGATAATCAACATGTTTTGTACCAGTACCAGATCAATTATCTTACTTACAGTGTATCTAAAGAAAGATAATACTCTGTGATGTTTTTAAACCAGATATCATCTAATAATTCTAAACAGATCATTAAACAATGGAATCCATCAGTCTTCACTTGATTAGCTGAAATTGAACAAAGTTATGAATATTGAACATGGTCCTCTATTCCTCTAGCGGTACCTCATGCTATTTACTGGAATTCGGGGGAAGCAAATATTCTGGAATAGAAATTCCTTCAAGCACGACTATTCCGTTTATCAAAATATCACCTAAAGAAGGGCAAAATTGAGAGTGTAGGCTGTATAGTGCTGGATTCCTCAAAATAGAGGTCATCAGGTCTGCTTCTCGAGCGACACCCGCCACTACTGTATTGGTCAACATCATGAGATACAATCATATCAATATGCCTGACCAAACAAATGAGCCAAGATGCAAGAAACACATTTGTAATATTTGTTCAATTTCCTAAATGAAGTTCAAAGTTACATTGTCACTCTAGCAATTGGAAATGGCATTAGGTTTTTAAAAGTATATCTTACGTGTGTTATCTGGTACATTTCTCATGATAGTTAGATTACCACGAATTTGTTCCAATAGTTTCTCAGGTTCGTTACTTCTGGTAGGTTTTCTTTTGATCTGTATGCAAATAAAAAAAATAAATGGTGCAAGTCGTCGTTACTTTGAACAACAAATGGTTATATTACAAGGAAGTAATTGTGTCCTACTGCTCTACTTCAATTTAGAACATTTCGATTACCTTTCTGTTTATTATAACATTGATAGGGAATGTCGGGGAAAATAATTGAGAAAAAAAAAATACAAGAAGATTTTGAATTGCATAAAAGGTGTAACCTTTTTAATGTGTATAGAATCTTTAACAAGAGTTTTAGTCGTTCGTTTTGGTATCAAATTCAGTTTATGCTGTGACACAAATTCCAGTTTACCCTTTCCTAAAGCTGTCATCTCAGGATACTCTAGAAAATTGAAACAAAATATGATAATTTAATTTAGATTAGAATTAATTGACTAGTCGTTGAGCAAATAGATCAAACGATGCGAGTTGCTATATAGCATACCCTACCCTATTTGCTCCGTTGTGTGTCTTGAAGTTCCCCGATTTGCTAAATTAAGTCCCCCGGCTTCACATTTTCTAGTTTATGTAATCTTGGTGAAGATCAAGTCATCTTCTCGATCTGTATAATCTTACCCATGTCAGAGAATTTATTGACTGGATTGACTGGTCTGTGGCCATCAAATGGATCGTAACCTGCTGGTGTGTGTCTCATCATAGATATTCTCTCGTCAACAAGTACTGTATGAATTGTTCCAAGATTTGAATTGTAGTACAGTGTCTGAAAAACACCAAACATTACTTTCTTATAAAAGAAAATCGAAATTTAAATCTTGTTAGATTACTACAGAGAACAATATCTAACATCTAAATTGCATTTGGAACTTACAGCTCTGATAAGGCTGATCAGTCTTGTTATTGTAATTTAGCATGCATACTTTTGTAAAGAAATAGAAAAATCAAATACATTCACACTTTTTCTCATTCATTTTACTAGTTGAAAGAGCCCAATTTCAGTATAGTACAGTACTTTCAGGATTTACATCCGAGTTCCGTGCAGTTCTATCTTTTAGTAATTATTGTAGAATGTCAGTTTTGTCTGCCAAAACGTTTTCATTAAAATTGCAGAAGAATTGGACGCTGGATTTAAAGTATGAAAAAGTGATATTGGTATCAATATTTAAGTAACGCGGTTGCAAAATGACATGTACCAGGTCACTCACCTTGGTGTAGTTCGATTTCGCATGAACCAAAGGATGTTGGCTTCTTGTCTTGGTGAATTTCTTTCCTTCTGAATGAGACTCTACTCTATAGGATGCTTTATGCGGACCTTAAATATATTATCGAGAATGTGATTAAAATCTTGAGATTGCCAGGAATCTTTCTTTTAAAAGTGCCGGTCAACTTGGATGAACACGTTAAGTATCCAGAAATTGGGCTTCATGAATGTATGATCTTAAGAGAAGTGATTCAGGTGTCTGAATTGGGTGCTCGGGTTATCAGAAATGGGTGATTAGTCGTAGCTTACTGATGAATGGTAGTATGATTAATTTTTACCTTCGTGACCCAGTTCTTCAACATCATACTTCCATCCTCCTGGTGTATTTCTCGTGGAAATCTGAATATAATACAAAAATGGCATTATTGACTGTCCAACAAAATAACTAAAAATAAAATGTACATGATCTTATCAGCGTTTGATTTTCATACGTAACATAACAGATGCCTGGGACACAAATACCGTACAATGTTATATTATACTATTCATGATTTCATTTGCGTGATTTGATGAAAAAAAAAGTCATTTCAAAACCAACAAATTGCTGGCAACTGCCTACTTCATCTTGGTCGTGTAGTTTTCCTGCAAACATGGCCGCCATTCCTTTCTTGATGGCAAGGATTTCATCATCTTCGCGCTGATCGTAAAACACTGAGCGAATTTCCCCATTACGGCTTATAAGAAATGAAAACCTGAAAGGCAAATACAACTATAAAACTTTCTATTCTGAAAAACATATACATTGCTAAAAAAAATGTATCCATATACTCGCCATATAATTACAGGAAGAGCTGAAATTGGATTCTGTTTATAATTGTGGGAACTAACGATTCTTCCAATGTTAAAACCAGAAGTAAGAATGCAAAAGATTTGAAAAACATGGTAGATTTTTACAACATTTCATAGTCATTTGGTTCTGTCAAATTACAGATATTCAAGGTAAAGCTACATTAAATCGGATTTTCCAATTTTTCCACACAGTAGAGAAAGAATGCAGCTTACCACTTGTTGAAATCTACATCATGTCCAACCGTATCTGAAATGAAAAGGTGTGTGTCAGCTTCATAAAAACAGGAAATATGACAAGTCCTGTCTGTAGTAATTTATATACATATTCTGAAGTGCATTTCGGTTTTTCCATTAATGCCATAAAATTGAGTAACCGTTGCTTTAAAACCTTTATTTGGTTATAACCTTTATAGATTAATTTTCATGACTATGATATAGATATTTCAAAATATACCAAGTGCTGTGTTGCATACTTTAAAGTCGTCTAAATGGTTGCTTTCACAGTTAATAGAGCGAGATAATATTACATTTATAGAGCAATAGTGAAAGGGGAGTCGCCCCTTTATGAGCTGGTTGACATATCAGTAATATTGACATTCAGGCCCCGTGAGCAGAGTTGCTGCATCAGAAGATTGTATGAATTATGAATTATACATCCATATGTATACAACATAACGTTATTTAAAAAAAAGTAGTCCGTCCCCCTCACTATAGTCACAATAATAAACCAACAAACCATAAATCTATTTACAGAAAGAGCGTCGCTGTTGACCGCAATTTGAAAAAATATAAGGGTGGTATTTGAAATATCTAAGCGTCAATCTTTTCTCAATGGTTAAACTCAGTGGGAGTTTAATTGAAATACATTTATTCTGTATAACTTACGAGGGGTAGACACTTGAGCAAAACTAAAGGTCCGAACTCGTACCAGTATTTCTTGTTCATCGTTCCGTTCTTCAACATTAATATAGCCAACCTGCAACAGATTTGTTTTTAGTTTTAAATTTTAGTCGGGGTGGTTGCATTAAATAAGATTAAAATTTCTTTTCTTTTTTTGTTTTGTTTTCTGATATTGTTCGTCTCCATTGTAATTTACTACCTTAGTCCCGTTTAAATGGCTATGCTTAACTTCGTTATATTATTAAGAAACGGACTTAACATGTTTTAAAGGATGCAACTGTGGTAGAAAATTGAAATTACAATTGAGACGTTAATTTGATTTCTGTCAAAAAAGAACACAGGGGAAAGAAAGGGCGAAACAATCACAAACAAGACAAATGGAAATGGGAAAGAATGGCAAATAAAAAGGACCAGAGGGGTATTTTTTTTTTTATTTTTTATCTTGTAGATATTTATTCAACATAAATTATACAATTATGCAAAACATTACAGTATATGAAAAACTAAAACATGTATCGCATAGTTATTATATAATTAAAATCAAGATATACATTAATATCACAGATGAATACTCCTTAATGGAGTTAAAATACGGTAAATTATTAATATAATAATACTGTATTATAATATTCACACTATTTCCATTATGGTATGGAACTTAAAAAATATTACTGTAAGGCTTCAAATTGTGGACACTAGCTATGACAATGTTTCTCTAAAATGGGTTAACACGTAGTATAATAATTAAAACCTTGATTAAAAAATCATGAAAATTTGAAAGTTGTATATTATAAAATGAAAATGATGTTTCATAAATGCGGAAGTATCCCTATTGATGGATCTTTACAAATGAAACCGAAAGTTGTAAAGATCTATAAGGATATTTCTTAAAAAAATGAAAAACGGGGTTAAAATATTGCTCTAGTAAAACCTAGAGCGTCGTCTGCTAGTGTTGACACAACATATAAAGGAATGTGTAATGATGATTAAATCTCAACAACTACCTAGTTTGCGATATCAGCATCCGCTGGAAGCGAACGTTAACTTGTCATCTACCTACATACCTGATTAAATCTATAGGGCTATAGAGACTGGTCCATGCTGCTAAATTAAGATGGTAAGTGGGTTATTATAAAATGTTAAAATCTATATACATGGTAAAATAAATATAATAAGTATAGGGGTATAATTGCAAGGATATGGCCAAAATGCTTCAAGATGTAAGATAATTCGCTAAGATAATTTACTAACGTATAGTTTTATATAAAAAATTAAAGTGATATAAGTAATATTTCATAAATTTCATAAAATATCTTATAAATCTTAAAAGAAATCTTTTATGCTGTCAGAAATGTAACTAATAATAGGGCTTAAAAGGGAGTGGTGATTATAATTATTATATTAAATTTCTTCCCTTAGTTTCGTTTTATTTGTCAAGTTATTCAGAAAAGTTAAAGGTGAGATAGACGGTGTATATTTTCCGCATTGCGTGAAGACCATGTAACAAGACGGCTATATCAAGTAAACATAAGAAAAGTCACCCCACTCCTATTTGGCTATTAAAATATAATATACGGTAGACCTGTATTGTAACTAGAGTAATATCGAAGTGGTTTAAACCGTGACCCGCCCAAACTATTTCAAATAGCATATGAATGCACAATCAATGACTAACGAAGTTTTTATTAATCTTTGTTTACACCCACTTGTAGCCTTTGACGGCCAGTCAATGGTGATTGCACTAACAAAATCTCCTGTGAACGTGACATGGTACTGGTAACCATGGCCGCCATTAACAGAAAGAAAGTCAACTTAAAATCGATAGATAAAGTTATGTTTTTTTATAGAAGTAATTAATTCTTTGAGAATAGAATTTTCAACGTAAGACTTATATCTAGGTAAAATACAATCCATGGGATAAGAAATAAAGGTAAATAATTTCCTAGGGCAAAACATTTTACAATGAAAATCATACCAGGATGTTATAAAAACTTATAAATGCATGAACACAAACTCACATAATTTATTCTTTAATACAAATTATGTTAGATTTAACATTTAGGAAGATGTTTGTTATATACGAATTTATTGCATTATATGACATTGATTATGAAATCATGTTGGCCTTCATGTCCTTAGACAAATTAAAGTGTCATGTAGTTGAATATAAGATAATATGTATCATATAAGAATTAGGTGGAGTTAGTTAACATCAATGATGCCAAATTTATTTTGAAAATTACTTCTTTAAAGCTAAACTAAAGCTTAATAAAGACACGATTAACCATTTTTAATATACCTTGGTCTCAAAGCCGGGAATTGTTAAACTAAACTAATCGGTAACAGTGTTCACGGCTAACCGCCGAAATTTAAGACTCATTCGTGCCTCTCAGCTCAGGTCGTAGCTCTCGTGTGCATGGAGTTTACGTAAGGTTTTTTTCATTCGAAGCGTTAAGGAAATTATCTGTCGTGTTTGATAATTTTTTCCTCGAATGAAAAATACCTTAACGTGAGCGCACTCGAAAGCTTTCAACTTTGAACTGGGGCGCATTCGCTAGCACAAGATCATACAAAAATTGGCTGGGCCCATCGGTGAATGCGAGTTTGTATCTGAAGCAATTATCGAAGACAAGTTGGCGGAGCTCTCGTGTGCGCTAGCCTTAAGTAGATTTTCTATCCCTTTTATGTGTATCGGGGACAATTTGACTTCTATTAGGGAAATTCCAATGCTTCGTCCGATGCCTGTGGTTTCTGAAATTCCAAAAAGAGTTAACCGGAAATGACATAGTTTCCCGCAAGACCAGCAAAGCAACTGAAGCTTTAGTCCAGCTGAACCTAAGAAGGTTTTACTGAATCCAAATCTATCATCTGTCATTCTTCTTTGGCGTTTTCCTTAGTAGCGCCACTCTCTATCGTCCACAAACTCCTGCTTCACATATTTGGCAGTAAAATTCAACTTCTCTATCACTGTGATGTGGATAAACGCAACGCATATTCGTTATATCACTACGCCAATCCCCGAGTACACACGAATGGGGTACGACCATTATATTCAAACCCAAACTGCCGAAAATGACGAAGCTGTCCCTTTAAATCTAACGAAGTTTTGTAGTATATGATTATGTACTAGACTAATCAACAAAATGGATAATCATTTACTGGATAAATATATAAATGATCACCAGCCTCTTTAAAAGGTGCGATATTCTGGACAAATCAATGCACGAGTCATTACGTACCATTTAAAAAACCTTTGTAAGTCATTGTAAGAGGCAAATGAAATAATGACCTGAAAACTTCATCACATTCCTCTATTGAAGTAACAGATATGACAGATATTGCACTGAAGTACTATTTGTAACAGCTCTGTCACGACAATATGCGACCTTATGGCGGCCAAAACTGTACTGGATCGCCAAAAACATGGAAGAAACGCAAGAAAAAAAGTCACATGAAATCACAAATTCTATAACAGTCGCACTCAAACTGCTACGTATATTGCGTTCGTGGAAATGGTACGACGCTTGTCTAAAGACATGGCGATCTCAACGGTGATTATTTGCGACGAACTTTGTCTGACGCTTCCTACACACTAATACAACGCTTATCTAATTTTTTAGGAACGCCTTTCTGGTGTGACGGGATTATTATGCTGATTGCGTGAACAGTCTACAAAAATAAATTGTAAAAATGAAGGATCAGTTACGATATTAGATGTTACATTTACAATACCCTGACGAAATACGATCCAACATACCTGTTAGGCGTACTCTAACTTTTTTGAAACTCAATCTAAATGTCGAGTTCTTGCATTTTAGCATACAGTGTTTTTAAGAATGAAATTTAGAATGTTTACTAAAATGAATGTTCTTAAATAGACTCATGTTGAAATAAATATGAATGGACATAAATGGATTGAAAACCAGATTACATGTTAACTTAACGAGCGGTAATGGCGAGCACATTTCATGGTCGCTTCCATTTATATTTACCAAATGGGAATAAAAAATATATTTATCTTTTGTAAATGTTGATATATACAGACAAGGTCAAAATGAACAATAAATTGTGTCATCCAAGAACTTGTCAATTTAAACAAACATACCAAATTTCGCCTTTTGTCCGTGTTTCGGCTAGATCCAGAAACCGGCATTACATAGCGACTTTTCAAAGTAAAAACAAAGTTTCACCTTTTACTCAATTTTATTGCAATACATCGTTACATTTATATTACATTATCGTTCAATATTTTACAGCAAATTATTGATCAATGTGACGGCTGTGGCTGTTTCTCAGAGACAAGTTTTGCAATCAGCCAGAAAACCAAATGTGAATTGGTGCTAGGGCATGAATTTTAAACTTGAAGAGTGCGTTGTTCAACGTGCGGGTCTCTCCGAGAATTGTTTGAAAACTATATGCTCGGAGAGCGCATTTCAGACGATTTTGAATCTCCATCAAAACGTTTATCTTTACGGGTCTTGAGACCAATTGTGATTGTGAACCACTATAATTTACCATCGAAAATTATTTTCTGTATTATGATCCAGCCCGGAAAACACTTTAGCACCAAAGGTGAGAAATTGCGAAGAGGGTCTTCAAGTCCGCGACCCCAAGAAAAGTACTTCGCGACCCAAGTTGGGGTCGTGTCCCAGAGGTTGGGAAGCCAAGGGCTAGATGTTCATCGAAAATTCTTGATAATCAAACTAATCTGAAAAATCATTATCACAGATATAGGTATACCAAATTTTGTTAAACTCCGATCTAAACTGCAGTCATTATCGCGCTCTCAAAGGTCCGTCACACCATTACATTCTGGTCAGCGTTCTCTGAACGTTCTAATCGTTCAATTTTCGAGCATTCTAGTGTGAGGCCGACATAATATGGCATGTGATTAACGTGTGACTAATGCATGACTAGTGTACAGATGGGCGAACGTTATAATGTGGGCGTATGAAAGCGACACGAAGTTGAATAAATAATTAACAAGAAATTTAAATTAAGGTGAACATTATTGATATATTATATCAATGTGCAAATAGCATTTCAAGGCATGCAACAGGGACGTTGGCCCGATAATTTTGACCATTTGTACCCAAGTCTCAGAAACGGGAATGTATTTTTTAGAAAAGCCAATCAGTAATAGTGTTCACAGCTCACTATCGAATTATCTGCGTTTGAAAGTTTAAAAGAGGAGTCGTCTTTTCTTGAGACACTGTCATATATAGAAAAAAGCATCTATAGAAATAGCAAAATAAATCAAGTAGAAGATAGCTTGCGTTGCAAGGTAACATACGCCCACTGGCAGCTGCCAGAAATAATAAAACAGTCTTTAGTGACTAAAGTACGAATTTTCTCATATTGAAGAAATTATTCATGCTGAATAATTCCACAAAATTTTTTAAAATCAATATCAATAACCCAAATACAACAAATAATTAAATCACACAGCTCTAATCAAGAACAAAAAACAACTTTTGACGCGTGTTTACAAAGTCAAGGGCAATAACTCAAAAAACGTCCATCAAAATATCGTCAAGTTAGAACTTGTCCGAGATCTTATCAATTCCAATGATCACACCAAGTTTCATCAGAATCGGTTGAAAACTGTAGCTTCAATCCTGCTCACGAACTATTTTTAACAAATATTGACGCGTTTTTACAAAGTCAAGGGCAATAACTCAAAAACCGTTCATCGAAAATGCGTCAAATTAGAACTTGTCCGAGATCTAATCAATTCTAATGATCACACCAAGTTTCATCAGAATCGGTTGAAAACTGTAGCGTCAATCCTGCTCACGAACTATTTTTAACAAATTTTGACGCGTTTTTACAAAGTCAAGGGCAATAACTCAAAAACCGTTCATCAAAAATGCGTCAAATTAGAACTTCTCCGAGATCTTATCAATTCCAATGATCACAACAAGTTTGATCAGAATCGGTTGAATACTGTAGCTTCAATCCTGCTCACATACTATTTTTAACAAATTTCGACGCGTTTTAACTAAGTCTAGGGCAATAACTCAAAAACCGTTCATCGAAAATGCGTCAAGTTAGAACTTGTCCGAGATCTTATCAATTCCAATGATCACACCAAGTTTCATCAGCATCGGATGAAAACTGTAGCTTCAATCCTGCTCACGATCAATTTTTAACAAATTTCAAGGTGTTCTAAGTCAAGGGCAATATCTCAAAAACCGTTCATCGAAAATATGTCAAATTCGAACTTGACCGAGATCTTATCAATCTAAAGCATCACACCAAGTTTTATCAAAATCAGATAAAAACTGTAGTCTCTATAGTGCTCACAAGAAATGTTGACGGACGGACCGACGGACCGACGGACCGACGGACCGGGGCGACGACAATATACGACCACATATTCATGTGGGCGTATAAAAAAAGGAATTATGTGATTTTCGTACATTTTTAAGACCTAAAGAAGCACCTTCACTATCCGCTCGACCAATTATACCTTAGTTTCAGAAACAGGAATATTTTTAATCAATAATTCAATAATAATAATAATAAAAAAAACACATCGGAAGACTTTTCTTACCTTTGCTTTTAAGAGAAAGTCGCCAAGATTTTTAACAGTTGAAGTCGATTCAATTTTATATTCATATTCAAATCCTGGTTTAAAATTGACGTAACCATAACCTGGTGCTGAAAAAACGAAAATTAACAACACAATTCTCCAGTCTCTCGACGCATAAAGCGCCATTTTACAACTGTTAAAGGAACTAAGTTAAGGTGTCTATATATCACAATACCTACACGTGATATCTCCTATTGAAATAAAATATTTCCTCGTTCTTTTAAAAGTAATAAGAAAATGGTTTATGACTATTATCTATTTTAATTTTGTTTGCACTGACATAAATTACGATTGTTGGTTCTTGTCAATGCTTCATTACATTTCTATAATAGTGGTGATATTGTTGGCATTCCCCATTGGCGTTTCTGCGCAAAATAAGGTGAGGGGCTGAACAGGGGGTGGGGAGGGATAGGTGATCGTCATGGGCATTCAGATTTTTGTGCAAAAACAGTTAAAACTGCAACTTTACATTTCTGACGGAACGGCAGACTGTCCAAATTTTGATCTTAACCTCACCCCGTGCAGCTAGACTGTATAGGCCGATTGCCGAATCCACTCCCAATATTCCAATTTTAACTCACATAAAAGTTTAAAGTGTCCTGCTTCTATAAATAAATATAAAGTAAATTGACTTTGAAGTATCATCCGTAATTTCAAAGGGAAAATAACTCGAAAGTCGGTTTCGGAAAGGGTCGAAAACTAAAAGTGCTGTAACAGACAGAGTTTGCAAGGTAAGAACTTACACTTTGGATCAGAATCACTTCAGAATTCAAATTGCAGCTTCACATTTCTGATAGTTTTCGAGCGCCAGCCTTTCAAAGTATCGATCTTAGCCCCAACCAGTGCAATTAGACTGCATAAACTGGCTGCCGACCCCAAACCATATTAAACTTAATCAACAACTTCCAAGAAAACCAACTCTGAAGTATCACTCCCTAATTTCACGAAGACAATCCCTCGAAAGTGGGTTCTGAAATTGTCGGAATTTAAAAGCGTTGTAGCAGGCAGAGTTTGTATGGAAGGAACTTACAAAGCCAACATAATTATAATATTGTGGTCTGAAGATGTTACTTTTTCAATAAAACATGTGCAATAAAAACTTATTTATATGTCAGTTAACCCATGTCAGAAAAATTATCTCCTGAGTGTACCAAATCTCGCCTACTAAATTTTCCGTCAAATGAGTATAATCTGATCATCTTACCATCAACGAGTATGCGGTTCGGAATTGTCAGGGAAATTTGAATGTTTTGGTCTTATTTTTTAATTTAACATTGTTTACAAAAGTAAAGCTATTGATTTGGGTAGCATTGGTCATTTATTTTACTAGAGCCTATCATTTTTTTCTCACACTAAACAGACTGTACGTTTACACTTTTAAAGAAGATCATGAGGACATCGCAATACAATTTGCGGGTCACAATAACACTTTTTGTAATCCAATATTTCTTACTATGATTGGCCACAACTAAATTTAATCTGCAAATCACATCAAATTGTTTATTTTGTCAAATCCAATATTAATTATTATTAGGCAACTATTGACCATCTAGTCCAATCTCAATGAGAAGAGTTCTTCCAAATATATTCCGCCCATATTCCGTCATTTGAAAACGTATTTCAATCGAAATTCAACGATTAACCATGAATGGATATTAAATCATATTCCAAATTCCATATATCTATATTGGGCCGAATATACGTTCAAAATTCAGGTTTCCATCTTGAAAACTGTGCCAGGTACAGCGCAATAAGTTTCAAACTTTTCCCAAACCAAAATATAAGAGATTTTCCTCTTGGGTCAAAAATGGCCGAGTTATTAGTGGGAAGGTCTGGCTGCAGCCAGACTATGTAGTCTAGTTGCACTGTTGGAGATTAAACCAAAACTGTGACAGTCTGCCGTTCGAAAGCAAACAAACTCTGCCTGCCACAGCAAAGTTTCAAACTATTTCACAAATCAAAATTGAAATTAAGGGCGGAACTTCAAAGTCGATTTTCTCGAAAGTTTTCAAAAATTCCAAATTTCTGCTTTCGACTGAAAAAGATAGGGGATTTTTGTTCAGGGGTGAGGTCGTCAGTCTGCCTATAGCGTCTTGTTGCACTGCATTTTCAATTGGGTGAAGACCAAAACTTTGGTGGGCTGTCGTTCAAAGATCGAAAGTTAAAATTTGCACTGAAGGTACACACCTATTGGAAGTTGCTATGTTTTAAATTTCAAGACCCTACCGTGAAAACTATGCCTGTTGCAGCATGTTTAGTTTCAAACTTTTCCCAACACCAAAATCTAAGTCATGTTCCTCTTGAAAAAAAACGGTGGAACTTCAAAGTCGATTTTCTCAAAAGTTTTCAAAAATTCCAAATTTCTGCTTTCGGCTGAAATAGATAGGGGACATGTTAAACTCTCGTTTGCAACAAAAAATATTCCTCTGGAGTCGAAATTGGAGACGATTTAGCAATTTTAGTTCATTGGTGGAGTAGGCAGTCTGCCTATAGTGTCTAGTTGCACTGTATTTTCAAAGAGATGAAGACCAAAACTTTGAGGGGCTGTCGTTCGAAGGCTATCAAAGATGGAATTTGCACTGAAGGTACACCTCTATTGGAAGTTGTTATGTTTTAAATTTCAAGTCCCTACCGTGAAAACAGTTACAGCACTTTTGGTCTCAGGCTGCCGTTCGAAAATTATCAGTTAACTATTAGTTCAGGGGTGGGGTCGGCAGTCTCTCTGTACCATCTTTCTGCACTGCGTTTTCAATGAGGTAAGGGCCAAAATTTGACAGGCTCTCGTTCGCAGGCTATCAGAGCTGGAAAGTTGAAATTTGCACTGAAGGCACAAACCTATTGGAAGTTGTTGTTGTCCAAATTCCAGCTTCCTATCTTAAAAACTCTGCCAGTTACAGCACTTTTGGTCTCAAACTTTTTCCCAAACCAAAATATAAGCAAATTTCCCTCTTGAAAATGTGGGTGGAACTTCATAGTCGATTTTCCCAAAAGATTTCAAAAAATACGAATTTCTGTACTGAAATAGATAGAAGACATGTTAAACTTTCTTTTGCAGCAAAAATTATACCTCTAGCGTCCAAATTGGCGAAGTTATGGCCATTTTCGTGAGAGTGTGGGGGTCTGCAGTCCGCATATATAGAGTCTAATGGCACTGGTTGGGGTGAAGGCCAAAATTTTAACAGGCTGCCGTTCAAAAACTATCAGGGCTGGAAAGTTGAAATTTGCACTGAAGGTACACACCTATTGGAAGTTGCTGTGTTCCAAATTTCAGCTTCTTATCTCGAAAACTCTGCCAGTTACGGCATTTTTGGTCTCGAACTTTTTCCCCAAACTCAAAAATATGCGATTTTCCTCGTGAAAATTTGGGTGAAACTTCATAGTCGATTTTCTCAAATGTTTTCCAAAATTCCAACTTTCTGCTTTCGGCTTAAATAGATAGAAGACATGTTATCGTTTGCAACAAAAATTATTGCTCTAGCGTCAAAATTGGAGGAGTTATGGCCATTTTAGTTCAGGGGTGGGGTCGGCAGTCTGTCTGTAGCGTCTTTCTGCACTGCGTTTTCAATGAGGTAAGGGCCAAAACTTTGACAGGCTCTCGTTCGCAGGCTATCAGAGCTGGAAAGTTGAAATTTGCACTGGAGGCACACACCTATTGGAAGTTGTTGTGGTCCAAATTTCAGCTTCCTATCTTAAAAACTCTGCCAGTTACAGCACTTTTGGTCTCAAACTTTTTCCCAAACCAAAATATAAGCAAATTTCCCTCTTGAAAATTTGGGTGGAACTTCATAGTCGATTTTCCCGAAAGATTTCAAAAAATACGAATTTCTGTTTTCGACTGAAATAGATAGAAGACATGTTAAACTTTCTTTTGCAGCAAAAATTATACCTCTAGCGTCCAAATTGGCGAAGTTATGGCCATTTTCGTGAGAGGGTGGGGGTCTGCAGTCCGCCTATACTGTCTAATGGCGCTGGTTGGGGTGAAGGCCAAAACTTTAACAGGCTGCCGTTCCAAAACTATCAGTGCTGAAATTTGCACTGAAGGTACACACCTATTGGAAGTTGCTGTGTTCCAAATTTCAGCTTCCTATCTTGGAAACTCTGCCAGTTACGGCACTTTTGGTCTCAAACTTTTTCCCCAAACCAAAAAATATGCGATTTTCCTTTGGGTAAAACTTCAAAGTCGATTTTCTCAAAAGTTTTCCAAAATTCCAACTTTCTGCTTTCGGCTTAAATAGATAGAAGACATGTTAAACTCTCGTTTGCAACAAAAATTATTGCTCTAGCGTCAAAATTGGAGGAGTTATGGCCATTTTAGTTCAGGGGTGGGGTCGGCAGTCTGTCTGTAGCGTCTTTCTGCACTGCGTTTTCAATGAGGTAAGGGCCAAAACTTTGACAGGCTCTCGTTCGCAGGCTATCAGAGCTGGAAAGTTGAAATTTGCACTGGAGGCACACACCTATTGGAAGTTGTTGTGGTCCAAATTTCAGCTTCCTATCTTAAACACTCTGCCAGTTACAGCACTTTTGGTCTCAAACTTTTTCCCAAACCAAAATATAAGCAAATTTCCCTCTTGAAAATTTGGGTGGAACTTCATAGTCGATTTTCCCGAAAGATTTCAAAAAATACGAATTTCTGTTTTCGACTGAAATAGATAGAAGACATGTTAAACTTTCTTTTGCAGCAAAAATTATACCTCTAGCGTCCAAATTGGCGAAGTTATGGCCATTTTCGTGAGAGGGTGGGGGTCTGCAGTCCGCCTATACTGTCTAATGGCGCTGGTTGGGGTGAAGGCCAAAACTTTAACAGGCTGCCGTTCCAAAACTATCAGTGCTGAAATTTGCACTGAAGGTACACACCTATTGGAAGTTGCTGTGTTCCAAATTTCAGCTTCCTATCTTGGAAACTCTGCCAGTTACGGCACTTTTGGTCTCAAACTTTTTCCCCAAACCAAAAAATATGCGATTTTCCTTTGGGTAAAACTTCAAAGTCGATTTTCTCAAAAGTTTTCCAAAATTCCAACTTTCTGCTTTCGGCTTAAATAGATAGAAGACATGTTAAACTCTCGTTTGCAACAAAAATTATTGCTCTAGCGTCAAAATTGGAGGAGTTATGGCCATTTTAGTTCAGG